AAGGATGAGGTCATATGAGGTCATGCACAGCCATGCACAGCAGGTCACCTGACCATCCAATCCTTCCAGCAGGTTCCAGCACATGCCAAAGTATACCAGCTACTTCCATGTCATAAAGGCTTAGTCATGTCTCTTGACCAAGCAATGAGCTGGTGCCCTGACAGTGGACCAGAAGCATGCTTTCATATTCTGCTTGAAGTCTTCCCATATGGCAGGTTTTGGATCCAGGTCATGCCACCATGCTGAGACACCCACACCACAAAATGACCAAGTGATATTGACCTTCCATTCTGAGGGAACCCAACAGAGTTCCATGCCATCTTCCATAGCCTGAAGCCAGACTCCTACATTCTCAGAGGTAAGGCCTTCAAAGCAAGGGGCATCCTTCCAGCCAGCCAGAAGGTGGTTGAAGTCAAATCGCTGTTCTTGCCCAACAACTTCTGTAATCAGTGGTACTTCATGAGACTGGGAGAGCAGAACCATTTGCTGTACCAGATCCCAAATCAACTGCACCAAGCTTGCCTGGTCTTCAGCCATGGAGATGGCCACACCAGCAGCTTGGTGTGCTGCCTCTGCAGCAGAGGATGTATTTGGGTGAGGTGTTGGTGGACATTGGCCAACTGTGGCACCATCTTCAATATGTGTCAGGACAGTGGTGCTCTGAGGTGAGTCTGGAGGAGCTGATGCAGGTTGAGTGGGTGTGGTCATTGTTGCCAAGTTCCTTTAAGAGAAGGACTGAGGTCAGATTGTGGTTTCCTGCTACCAACTGTTGAGTTGTCAATTAGGGGAGAATAGATAACATGGTGTGGATTGGCCTGCCACAGGCCAATCCGTCCCTATATACATATAGGCTACATAGATAGTCTAATGGAATCAAATTCCGGTGCCTTGAGGTTGCGCAAGGGTCCTGCACTGCCACTCTTGGCACAAACTCGACAGGTCTAACGAACTTTTCCTGGTGCAAGTTGCCATCGGCAATGCATTTCGTCTGATATATGTTTGCTAATGAAGAGACTGGCTAAGACTACAGGCTTGTGGACCACGTACTGTACTTATCGGCATCAGTCTTTAGTGCATTAGCTTTGCCCAGCATGGACTGCACTCCGTCCATGCCAAGAGGGAATCTCATAGGTAGGTTCGGCTCCTTGACGAGGTCGTAGATGATTTGCACTGCCGAGTCAACATCAGCACCCGGTGCAGAGCTGACGTATTGTCGCGTCAACATGCTGGAACTATCTTTATATGCTGGGTGAGGAGGCAAAGTGATGACATTTTGGGATCCTCGCGTCTTGAACGATCCCGAAACAATCAAACACACCTGCATAATAGCTGATTAGAAAGACTTTTAAACAACCGGAGATTCGGCACATACTCGGATATTCCACGCTGGCACGAGTTCTTTCTCAAGGCCCTCTATCGCTCCTTCCAAAGCTGTTCTAGCCATCAGGGTAGAGAGAACAGGTAGTGTGACCCATAGATACCTTGCTTGGCTGCGCTATAGTACGAAAGGGCAGGTGCACCGTAATTGGCAGCCATTGAGGACATCACCAACAAAGTGCCGCCGACAGAGGGCCCGTTCACTTCTCTAAAGAACTCGATCGCAGCGCGGGATACGTCAGCAGCACCCCAGAAATCGACGTCGAACATCTGCCTCGCTTCTGATGATCTAGTCGCCGTCTCGAATTCTCCAAGAACACCAAAGGCGGCATTACTGTAAACAACGTCGATGCGACCAAACACTTCCTTAGCTTTAGAAAAAGCGGCATCCACATCGGCGGGTTTGCTGACATCCAGTTTCAGAACCAAGAGGCGGTCCCGACCGTATTGAAGATCATCCAGTGCCTCGGGTTTGCGGAGTGTTGCGATGACGACTTCGCCCCTTTTGAGCAGGAGCTCAGTCATTGCTCGTCCAAATCCCGACGAGGCGCCAGTAACTGAAATAATGTTATCAGGTATTGCATGGCTCAAACACTGCAGCGACATACTCAGCCAGACCTTGTTCGACATCGTGTAAGGCGGCTGAAGTCGTCGATAGGAAAGTGTAAGAGGGGTAGACCATCAATTCGAGGTCTTTATAAACAATAATCTGCGCCAGCTCCGGCATCAGACCGTTCTCCATAGGATCTTTAGGGCTTGCAGTCGGCGCGTACTTCGCATGTGTCGTTGCTCAAGGGCTCCCAGAACCCGGTCGACAAAGATGGTTTTGACGACATTGGTCCGCGTGCAAATTTCGTCCGTGAGCTCGCCCGAAGCTGGGAAAACCAATGTAAACTAGAACGAAGTGTAGAGTTATCATTATCGTGTTCGATTAAGGGCCGTTGACGTTGCCGATGTGGGGATAAGCGGGCAAGGAGCCCCTATCTCTGCATCCTCCGTTAGTTGTCCGACTCGGGATCGGACGAAAGCATCCAACATAACCGGGGCGTATTCATGGGACTCGATTCCTTTTGCAAACATAGACAATACATTCGAGACCGGGTGGTGAATGTTCCGAAACATCTAAGCCATAACGAGTATTGTCTCGAATCCTTCCTTTCTAAATTATCAACATGCGCTGATCATGCGCCAAATTCCTCGATCACGCTCTTTGGTTGGATATACTTTCCTAGAGGGACGTACTTGACCTCGGGAAACCTACATCAAGTCAGTCAAACGTCAATCGCACGGCCTGAGCACATACCCAAAGGCACGACAGTCGCCAATCTCCAAACCTCTCTCAGTGTCCGTCCACTGGGGTGCAGCCGTTACGCCAAGGACGATAACGCGCAGACCATACTTGTAGTCCGGGGTACCAAGGGCAGCGCCATTCTGAGCATCAATGACCATGATAAGGTCGGGTACGGAGGCCAGGACTATCGGCTTGCTGCCATCTTTCGGATCGTGTTCTGCGTACAGGTTCTCGTTCTTGAAGGGGATCATCAGCGTGCCTTTGTATTTCTCGACCGGGCCGTCTGTGGGCTCGCTATCATCTGCCAGGGCCTGGATAGTGACACGGCCGATCGTATGTCCCTTATAAATGCTGCGAGAAACATCGACGATCTTTCCGCTGAACAGGACCCTGCCAGTCTCCTTTCCCCCGAGAGCATCGACGATGATATTCCCGACGTTGCCAATCTGTGCGCTCTTCCGGGCCAGAGCAACAGCGCGACCGATGCGCCAAGCCAGAGAGACAGTGTTGTTGATCATAGCCTTGCGGCAATAGCCAGCGGTCAGAGGACGGAGCGCACAACCGACACTGGTGCCCATCTCCGTACAACACGCGCGGAAAGCTGCATCGTGGTCTCGGTCGCCCTTCACCCGGGTCATGAACTACAGATTTATTGAGCATTCACGTCCCCCCTTCGACCTTGGACGAACCATGACGTTTCCATCACCACTCGCGATGGCCGAAGGCAACAGGTTGGCGCACTTGTGCGTGTCATCATACACGTTCGGGGTAGTTTGCCAACTCTAGACAAGTTTGTTTAGTCATGCCCGAAGACACTTTAGTCGCTGAACGCACAGTAGGATAAGCACGTCCCATGAAGTCGCCGTCAATAACTGGCCAACCAAAGACCTCGCTGCTCGAGAGGATCATCTACCGCAGAATGAGCACACGCTACAGTCGATAATTAACGGCGTACGTTGATCATTCCGTTCCCACCACCAATCTCGAGCGCGGCAAACCCAGCAAGCTTCGTAATCTGCCAAAAGTCAACAAAATGTCCACTAACACCGCACCCCACACTCACACCCATGAACTTAAGTAGCTCCTCAGTCGCTTCCTGATACTCGTCCCCCGACAGTCTCTCATCCGCTACCTCCGGGCTCCCCAGCCCTCCCCCCCAACCGATGAGCGCGTCGTCCTCCAAGCTCCCCAGATCGATCACTCTGATCACCGCTCCCTTCCTTAGCCCTTCCCTCAGCCGCAAGTAGCGCTGGTACGGCGAGCCCCCACCTCCACAGCCGAGGATATACGCACCATCGGCGATGAACTCTAGGTCGAGCTCAGAAAGCGTCCATGCCCCCTGCTCCACTCTAGGCCGATAGTCAACAATCTCCTTCGCGGTGGGTACATGCTCCGGTTCCTCGGGCTCATACGCCCCGTTTACCAGCGTCCCCGCTTCCCCGTCCTCGTCTTCCTCGCCCACCTCTTCCGCTTCCCCGGTAACGCCCTTCCATTCCCCAGCAGCCTTGACGTAGAACCTGCACCTTCCAGCAGTATACGCGATCGGGATAGCCTCGCTCTCTATGATACTGACTTTGTCCGGGTTCGCGCCGGCCTTGATCGCCAGGTCCATAGCGCGGTGCTCGATGAGCTTGCGCACTTCCGGGATAGAGCGGGAAGAGATCTCCTCCACTGTGTCGACTGTGCCTGCGACCTGTGGGGGGTTCAGACGTGCTTCATTGTACGGAGGGGGAGTACATACCTGGGCAATTGCAGCCCCACACGCGTTCGCCACGCCAGAATTCTTGAACTTGACTACGCGGCTCACGCCATCCAAATGATCCGGGGCAAGAATCGCGCCTCCCCCAACCAGGTACACCGGTATGTCCGCAGCCGAGGTCTTCCTACCTCCGGCATCAGCATGTCTGTGACAACAAGGGACAGGAATGAGACCCACATCGAGTCCAGCGTGGTCTCGAGCATACTCTTAATCCTCGCCTGGGCTTTCTCTACCATCCCCTTCAGCACGTGCTTCACCAGACTCTTGTCCCCCACATCTCCCACCCTTCCGCTCGCGACCGCAATATCCGTCGCTGTGAGCACCTTTCCGCCAAATACGAGCGCCTCGGAAGTTATGCGATACCCGACACTGTCGGGTCCTACGCTGACTCTCCCGTCTTCTGGGTGCGTGCGGACGAGCGAACCTCCACCTAGACCGATCGAGACGACGTCAGGCATCGAGAAGTTGAGTCGGACACCGCAGAGATGATGCTTCGCCGCGGCTTGACGAGGGAATCCGGTGGGGAGGAGCATGCCGATGTCACTCTGCCAGTACACGAAGAGTTAGCCACCGCCCCAGTAGAGAGAGAGCCCGGCGACGTACGGTGGTCCCACCAATATCAACAACTAACGCGCCCTCGCCTTTCTCCTGCCCCATCTCGAGCTGGGCTAACCACGCCGCCCCTCTCATACTATTCGTCGGCCCGCTACTGAACGTCCTGATGGGGAACTTGGCCGCCTGGGCACAAGTGAGCAGCGTCCCGTCGTTCCCAGTGATAAACACCGGACAACTGAGGTTGAGCAGTGCCGCAGCCCTACGGAACCCGCGGACCGTCTGGCGGGCATAAGAGAGCAGTGCGGCGTTGAGGATGGACGCGTTCTCCCTGTCTAGCAGGCCGATGTTGGATATCTGCTTGGAGATCGTTATGTGCGCTCTGGGCAGGAGACGGCGGACGATCGATGCGACGGCTTCTTCTTGCTTGTAGGTGTGGTCGATGGGAGCATACACGGAGGAGATGGCGATGGCGTGGATGTTCGCTGCAGCGATCTCTTTGCATGCTGCTTCTACTTCCGCAGGGATAACGGGCGCGACTGGAGGATATGTTAGCGGGTATTGGTGGGGAGGAGGGGGACGTACTCTCTCGACCGTCAATCTGCAGCCCTCCAGAGAGCATGAACACGGGCCCCTTGAGGACTGCGTTCTCGTCCAGTCAGCACGAGCATATAAGATGGAAGTTGACGAACGACGCACTGCTCCTCAGCTCTCTTGGGAAGCTGGCGAAGGGCGGGCATTTGAGGCTGAATGGCCCGCACAGACGGATCACGGCTACTTTATGCAATTTCCTAGGGTCACGAGTGATGAGTGCATTGACGAAATGCTGTCTTTCGTTAGTGGCAGGCATCAGTAGAGCAGAGAATGCATACAGTAGTGCCAATAGAGAGAGCCTGTATCTTGCTCAAGTCCGATACGTCCTTGAGCACCATCTGGACAGCGCTGACGATGCCGTCCATCACTTCTGGCGTCGTGGGGCTCTTGTGGCCGGAGAGGACAGCATTCTGCTTATGATCTTCGGAGAGAGCGAGGAGGACGGCGTCGCTAGCAGGTATGAGAGGGTATTGGAGGAAGGTGTGTGATCATGAGCGTACGTGTTCGTCCCCCCTACATCTACGCCTAGACGGTACACAACGTCTGCCTTGTGCTCGTTGTCGTGCGCATGTTCGTGGGTGAGGTGGAAAGCATGCTCGACGCTGTGTATGACATGCTCGACGCTGTGTATGACATGCTCGACGGCTGTCTCAGAGTGTGCGATGATGTCTTCTGCGCCTTTGATGACGTCGCTTGAGATTGGGATGCTCATGGTCGTCGCTGATGAAGTTGATGGATAAGGAAGGAAGAGTGATATGAGTGAACATGGTTATCGCCATTGGAAGAGTTGGACGTCACAGACCGTTTGTGATAAAATGACCGAAGTGCCAATCATATGTCTTCAATAAGCGCTCATCGGACAATCACCGGAATGTCACATTCACTGAATCAGGTTATCAGCAGTCTGTTATTAATCACGCTCGGTGCTCATTACTCAAGATCTCCACCAATTGTATTCGGCCGGTCTGACCTATTAGCCTCCCACTCCCTCTCCAACTCCCTAGCAAGGCTCATCCCTTTTGCGGCGTGTATTGCCTATGTTGCAACCTATCAATCCGAAGGAAGACTGAGCCTGTACTCGTGCATAATTGATCTAGTGACTTCGTTTTGATATTGGGTGCTGGAGGGGACAACAGTTCTCCGATCGAAGACCTCGGCTCACAATGACCAGACCGGTTGAATCACTATCCATCACAGTCCAAAAGTGCGCCAACTGTCCTCATAACTTGGACAACATCTAGCCCTAGTGAAAAATGGAGTGGCGGATTCGGCAGGTGGGCAACCTCATATATAGTCGCGACCTCTTCATCAGCGTCGTCGGGACACTCCCCGATCGCTAATGCACTGCGAAAGATAGCTGTGGTTTCGTTGTTGTAGTTTTGATAAACAGGAAAAACATTTGCCTGTTGGATGATTTGGGTTTGGAAGAAATCAGGTTCGATCAAGGTGATCTATGCAGTTGTGTTAGCAGCACGCGGGACATGTCGAGACATACCCAACGCACCTTGATATTCCAATACGGTTCGAGTTCCATCGCCAGCATCTTTGTGAAACCCTCTAGGGCGTGTTTTCTGTTCCTCTTGAGCGAGAGCCCCCGCCCCAACATCATGAAAGAGCTTACGAAGCCGTATAATGTCCGAAGAGAACCAGGGGGCCAAGTCCAGCTACAGACAACTTCTGCAACAAGCGTCCGCCAGCGCCGGGAGGATTCACATCTCTGAAAACGCGGATTGCTTCCCGGCTGACGTTGACCGCGGCCCAGTAATTCGTCTCGAAGATCTTCCTTGCGGCACCCTCGGGCGTATTTTCACTCGAACCGAGGAGTGTAGAGCCAGGGTTGTTGAACACTACGTCAATACGACCGAATGCGTCGATCGCTTTCTGGAATGCGGGAAGGATGTCGGAAGACACTGCGACGTCCAGCTTCAAGACCAGGAGACGGGTCTTGTCGTATTGGCGTGTTAGATCAGCGAGCATATTCGGTTTTTGAAGGGTCGCGATGACGATGTTGCCGTTCTTCAACACGTGTTCGGCCATGGTGCGACCAAAACCGGTCGAAGTGCCAGTGACTACGTATAGCATAAGCAATCGGGTGGTGAGAAGACGGACTGGGCTCACTGAACCAGACCTGACATGCCATCGGATGGGGGAACCGCAGATCAGAGATTCAGATCGCCAGTTATATATGAGACAGATCTTGGCTTTTAGAGGTTGTAGGGTGTTTGGAAGACCGGGAAAGAGGAGGTCGGACAACCCGCAAGTGTTGACGTCGACGGACCGGCAGCACCATTATAAACACAAGGGCCGCGAAAGGAGAGGAGGCAGCTAGAAGGAATGAGCTTAAGGGCTACGGCCTTTGTCATCATATTGTTTGCATGTTCCTTCTTTTATCGCTGGCGATGAGGCGGGGAAGCAGAAGACTGGCCCAGGGTGGTTGTGGAGAAGAGTGCTACACGGACGCTTAGGTGGTAGATAGACAGGCGGGCGCTCAACCAGAATACAGCGAAATATGAGTCGAGGACAGCTTATACACGGCGGTCGGCAAGGGGAAGTTGGTGGTCAGGCGGTGACTGTTCGGAGCCGAAAAGACGTGTCTCCGGCATTTCTATTCACAGCGGAAGAACGCAGAATTCTTATTGTCAGCGCTGACCATATCAACTTGCGGTCAGCCATCCTTCAAAGCGTTCTTGGTAAGTGCAAAGCAGGCAATTCGGAGCACGTACTTATTTGTTCAACGCAAAGACCAAATATTAACGTTTTATCATCTTCGATTCACGTGCAGCGGAGGGTAAACATCGACATAGTAGTGATGACGGAGTACTTGTGATCGGGCGAGGTGATATAGGCTGAATGAGAGGTGTGACTTGTTGCCGAATTCCGATCCACAATACCTCAGTGCCGATCAGTATAAGGCTCTCATCGGACGATCACCGGAATGTCACAATCGGGCTATCTTAGCGCCCATGTCTGTTAAAAGAAGCGCCCATTATACACTGCCACTTGAAGTGACCTCTCTGTTTCTCTCTTCCCTTTCCTGCGATAACCCGGATGTCCCTTACAAGAAGAAGAATGTCTAAGCTGCCTTATTCTAATCGGGTATCATATCATCATAACTGGATGGAGGCATGCCTCTGTACGGTAATGATACTTGGCAAATCAAGTAAACGATGAAGGTCTTCTCGGTCGATAACAGCTTCTCTCCTTCCTGCTCTTCTTTCCCAACTCTTTAGAATAAGGATGAGCATACCCATCTCAAGCGAGGTCATCAAAGGCGCAGAAGACCTTGTTGCTCAAGCAGAGAAGGCGGTCGAGCACGTTGTCGGAGGAGTAGGGCATGCACTGCATCTTCCCCATCTTCCGCACTTGCATCATGTCAACGGGCATATGGTGCACGAGCCGGAGGTCGTATACCGTCTGGGGGTTGACGTAGGTGGAACCAATACGTGAGTCTATTACCTCCAGAGCCGGAATCTCTATCGATCTTGTGTACAGAGACGCTGTTCTCCTAGCTCTCTCCGAAGATCATAAGAAGAATGCCGTTCTCTCGGCACACAAGTCGCCTACTACTGTAGACGTCATGGAAGGTATCATCAACGCCGTGTCCATGGTAGTAAAGGATGTCAAAGACATGTCTACCATCCAAGCGCTCTCTATCGGCACAACGGTACGCCTCTCTCCCAGCCCAAGAACAGCACATCCTAAGCTCTGATAGCATTTCGTCAACGCGTTGATCACCCGAGATCCTCGTCGCCTAGAAAAAGTAGCGGTGATAAGGCTCTGCGGGCCGTTCAGCCTCAAAACCCCTCCTTTTTCCGGGTTCCCCAGAGAACTGAGGCACAGTACGCCCCTCTCCCTCCAAACCACACGCTACTGATGTGCGGCAGTTCTCGGCGGGCCAGTGTTCATGCTCTCCGGAGGGTTGCAGATCGACGGGCGCGAGAGTACGTCCCCTTCCCCCTCCTTCCCATCCTCGCCGTACTCACTCCCCCAGTCGCACCCGTCCTCGAATCCGAGATCATCGCTGCCTGCTCGCAAATCGCCGCCGCAGGGATCCGTGCCGTCGCCGTCGCCTCCGTCTATGCGCCCATCGATTCCGTCTTCAAACAAGAAGAGCGCGTGGCAGACCTCGTGCGCGCCCACGTCCCCGGAGCGCTCGTGACCATCTCCAAACATATATCCAACATAGGCCTTCTAGACCGAGAGAACGCGTCGATCCTCAACGCCGCCCTGCTCTCCTATGCGCGCAAGACCGTGCGCGGCTTCCGTTCTGCCGCTCAGAGGCTGCAGCTCACTTGCCCAGTGTTCATCACCAGTAACGACGGGACGCTGCTAACGTGTGAGCAGGCGGCCAAGTTTCCCATCAGGACGTTTAGCAGCGGGCCGACGAATAGCATGCGGGGGGCGGCGTGGTTAGCCCAGCTAGAGATGGGACAGAAGAAAGGCGAGGGCGCGTTGGTTGTCGATATCGGGGGTACAACTGTGCGTCTGTTTCTCCTCCTGGTGTACTTCACAGGACTGAAGTACGGGTACAGACGGACATTGGTATGCTCCTCCCTACCGGGTTCCCGCGACAGGCCGCAGCGAGACATCATCTCTGCGGTGTCCGACTCAACTTCTCGATGCCGGATGTAGTCTCTATCGGCCTGGGCGGAGGGTCCATCGTACGCTCTCATACTGATGACGGGAGAGTCACCGTAGGACCGGACAGTGTAGGGTATAGGATTACCCAGGAGGCACTCGTCTTTGGGGGCAAGACGCTCACTGCAACCGATGTGGCTGTCGCGAGTGGCAGAGCCGCAGACGTGGGGGACAAGAGTCTGGTGGAGCATGTGCTCAAGGAGATGGTAGAGAAGGCCCAAGCGAGGATCAAGAGCATGCTCGAGACGACATTGGACTCGATGTGCGTTTCATCCCTATCCTTTGTTGTCAGAGACCTGCTAATACCGGACGTAGGAAGACGTCTGCTGCGGACATACCAGTGTACCTTGTTGGGGGAGGCGCGATACTCGCCCCGGATCATTTGGACGGCGTTAGTCGCGTAGTGAGGTTCAAGAACTCTGGCGTGGCGAACGCGTGCGGGGCTGCTATTGCGCAGGTGTGCCTAGCCCTCCTATTCCTATTCAAGCATCTCTGAACCGTATCAGGTAGCAGGCACGGTCGACACGGTGGAAGAGATCTCCTCGCGCTCTATCCCGGAAGTACGCAAGCTCATCGAGCACCGTGCTATGGACCTGGCGATCAAGGCCGGTGCGAACCCGGACAAAGTCAGTATCATAGAGAGCGAGGCTATCCCGATCGCGTATACTGCTGGAAGATGCAGGTTCTACGTCAAGGCCGCCGGGGAGTGGAAGGGCGTGTCCGACGCCGAGGCTGAAGCGACGCCAGAGGCCGAAGACCCGGAGCCGGCTGTCAACGGCAAAGACGTCAACTACGAGCCTGAGGAAGCGGACAAGATCCTCTCCGCGAAGGAGATAATGGCCTACCGCCCGCAAGTTTCTGATGCGCTATGGACGCTCTCGGAACTCGACCTCGAGTGGATCGCAGAAGGGTGTTATATCCTCGGCTGTGGGGGCGGCGGATCCCCGCATCATATGTTCCTTCAGATGAGGGAGGCCGTCAGGGGAGGGGAGAAGATACAGGTTAGGGATCTGAGCAGCTTGCCGGATGACGCTGTGCTTGGGTGGGGAGGGGCACTTGGGAGTCCGGAGGTCGCGGATGAGAGGCTCTTGGGGGAGGAGTATACGGAAGCGACGCAGGAGCTGATCAAGTTTATGGGTGTAAGTGGTCACCTCTATGCGGATGGCTCCTATTCTCAGCCATGACGTAGATCAAGGATGCTTTCGCTGGGTTTATCGCCCTCGAAATCGGCGGTGCGAACGGGATGATCAACGTACGTCATACGTGTGCATTTATGCAGCTAGCTGATATTCCGAAGATGACACTCGCCTCGAGTGCAGTGTATGGCTGGCCCGTCATCGATGGCGACTTTATGGGAAGGGCGTATCCGACTGTCAGTCCTTTGATCGTGCGAGTCACACAGTACTGATATGGTTGTAGAGCTGGCAAACCACCCCGAACGTTTATGATGATACCGGAAAGGCAAAGTTCTTACTTCCTTCGGTCATTTCCAGCGGAGACGGCAATATCATGGTAAGAGACTGAATTCGGAATATTGGTTGATCCTCATTCGTCATGCAGATAATGACGAAAGTCAAAGTTGATCGTGATCATGATTCTGCACTGCGTGCTGCCTGTACAGAGATGGGCACCTTTGTGGGATGTGCAATGGCCCCGTTGACTGCGGCTTACTGTCGGCGGGCAATGATTCACAACACGATATCCCTTTCCTGGAGGATTGGCCGTGCAGTTGCTTATGCCCGCAAATCCGCGCAGTTGGGCAATGTTGGCAACGTAATTATTGACTCTCTTGGTGGAAAGGAGACCGGACGCGTGCTTTTTAGCGGGAAGATCATCGATGTGGCTCGATCGTACGTGTGCACGTCCCCGAACGGTCTGGTTCGCTGATGAGAGGACAGGGTTTACAAAGGTCACACGGTCGGCCGGGTCACCATCGCTGTGTTGCAGGACCACGCTGAGCCTACGGATGGACCGGTCGAACAATTCCAGGGCACTCTCATGATTCCGTTCAAGAATGAGAATCTCTACTGCGAGCTCGACTTGAAGGACGGCAGCAAGCCAACGGTTATCGCAACAGTTCCAGACTTGATCATGGTTGTTGACGCCCAAAATGGGGCGGCACTTGGCACGCCGGATTACAAGTACGGTCTAAGGGTAATCATCATCGGTGTGACAGCTGCACCGCAGTGGACAGATACGCCCAGGGGTCTGGAAATAGGAGATTGTCGTGCATTTGGGTTAGCGCATCACTGAGAACCACAGGAATAATATTACTGATCACACTGCCCAGATTCCCAGAAATTCCTTATAAGGCGCTTGGCCAGTATGTGAAACCCAGGAGTGTAATTGAGGAATTCAGCACGTAGTCAAGCAGTGACAGAACCGAGGTAGATGGTGGTCGTCTTCGTCATCTGGGTATAACTGCATTTAATAGTTTTCGATGATGTGATGTTTTATTTTGATGAACCCCTGAAAGCTTATCGGTTATTCGGGTTCTGGGGCTCCTAATAATTAGAGCCGCAACGTCAATCCTCTTCCGTCCAGCCTCGGGGCCGGCGATTTCTCCTGTCCGATTTCAAACGCGTTGTGCAAGACCGACCACCATAACTCAGCACCGACCGCAGCCAAGACGCTATCTCCAGAAACACTCCATTTATGAGTACTAAGGCATAGCTTCGGGGATTATGTGTGCTTTGGCAGGGGACGATTGCCGTGGGAAGTGTATTGGACATGTGACGGTTGACGACCATGAATTGAGTGACTGTTACCAACAATGCAGTGCGGCACAACGTGTCAATCTTCTCATGCTCTCGGAATACAATTGCGGGACATTCATTTCATAAGTAAGCTGTTTGTTGGGGTCTCCCCACATTTGATGGTCTAGGGGCTATTTCTTCTGGTTGCTGGGCTGTATCTCTTCTGGTTTCTGGTATAAAGATCTGCTGGACTTGAACGATCATGCAGCTGCTCAGCTGGACTTCCTTCATCGACATCCCTCATTTCTCGCGCTTGCAATGTCTTCGACGATTGATATTGTTGCTTCACCTTCCCTCCACAAAGGCAACGCCTCGAACTCCCTCCTTCGTCGGGCAGCGCGAGCTGCCCTGGGTTCTCTCGATTCGTTCTCGGAATCCATGATCATCAGGTAGGCATCTCTGTAATCGATAATGCCAAGACTTTGAATGTTACAATAGCTTATTGGGGCGGATATCTCGTGGTCAGCTGCGCATTGTCACTCCAACAAAAACCTACAACTTTCCACTGGAGAACCCTCAGCCAAGTGCCAATGGAACCTCAGACGACGCTTCGAGCATGCATGTGACGGTCACAGTGCGAAACAATGCATTCTGGACACGCGTTCTCACTACGTCCGACCTTGGATTTGCAGAAGCCTATATGCTGTCCGAAATCGACGTGGACGACCTGAGTGCCTTCTTCAAGGTATGTCGAACAGCCTGCGCTACTTCGTTTCTTCCTGACATTGTATTCAGTTATTTATGTATAACCGCGACGAGCTGGAGCCTGTGTCAACGCTGAAATCATTGTTATCGTATATTCCGACATTCGGCTCTCGAAAGCTATTGGACCTCACGGTCTCTTTGGCGAACGTAAGCAACGGGAAGGCCAACGTATCAGCACATTACAATCTCTCCAATCGCATGTTCGAAGCATTTCTCAGCCGTGACAGAACGTATTCCTGCGGCTTGTTCGAAACATTAGACGAGGATCTAATACAACCACCAAAAGACAAACCACTGCGGGGACTCGAATCATTGGAAAAAGCACAGCTTCGGAAATTACGGTATGTTCAATTTACTTGCTGTCGTTGGCTTCTGATTGACATTTCTCAGGCTGAACGTTATCAAGGCAAACATCCGTGACGGGGACAGAGTTCTAGAGGTCGGCAGCGGCTGGGGCTCATTCTCCATCTATGCTGCCACTCTTTACAAGTGCACAGTCGACACCCTCACCCTGTCCGAAGAGCAAGCCGCCGTCGCTCGGGAACGCATCGCACGGGCTGGCCTCCAAGACCGAGTACGGGTCCATGTACTCGACTATCGGAACATACCAGCCGAATGGAATGGCCAATTCGACCGGTTTGTTTCCATCGAAATGATGGAGCATGTTGGCGCAGAGTACATGGAAACATTCTGGCAGGTGGTTGATCGGGCGCTCAAGAAAGACGGCGCTGGTTGTGTGGAGGTCATCACCCTACCTGAAGCGCGTAAGTGTTCCAGTTACGCAAAAAGACCTGAGCTGAGACTGCACCAGAGATGAGTAGATACCTAAAAGATGTGGACTTCATCAGGAAATACATCTTCCCAGGAGGGTTCCTACCCTCAGCCAATATGCTTCTCAACACCCTCAATTCCGGCAGTCAAAGCCGCTTGATCGTCAACTATGTCTCGAATATCGGTCCCCATTATGCACGCACTCTTAGAGAATGGCAGCGCAAGTTCCTGGCTAATTTCGACAGCGTTATTCTGCCCCAGTTGCAAGAGCAGTACAGCGTTTCGAACGAAGAAGTCGAGACGTTCAAGCGAAAGTGGGTTTATTACTTGTGAGTCGCTGCCACGTTTCACGTTCCGTGTCAAACTGATCACTGTATCCACTAGCACATTCTGTGAGGCCCTATTCGCTACTCGGTCTATCGGCTGTCATGTCATTTCTTTCACTCGCGAGGGCAACGTCGAGCTACCGTGTGATGTTCGACTAGAGGAAGAAATTGAAGAGATGTCTTTTTGAGTCGCTGCAAGGCGCTGGTTACGGCGGCCGCTGCTGTGCTTCCATGTATACTCTTTCTGTCCAGTATTCTGTGTGATATAATACCTTGTTTGCATCAGGATCACATCTGCTACTCCGGAGTGAACACCCTTGTCAATCCGCATGCGATCTGCCTCCAACTTCCCTTATTATAAGCAACTCTGATTTCTCCTTGCAGGACATCGCCGTCATTGACATTCCCAACAATTTTGTATAAGGTTGTCGTAGTTCCTCTTGTAATACGATGGTCATGGAAGAGCTTGTCAATCAACCCAATAAATCCACAAACACCAATGTTGTCCATATGACACTAGTAAGATTCAGAGTCGGCGCATTCTCGAATGGGACCAAGCGCAATTGCTTGTGTTAAGTCCGCACTTCCTCCGTTTCTCTTCACGGCTCAACGTTCACGATGCCTCCAACCCTGTCATCGAGACGACGACTACGACGGCCTCCCCGTCCACTTCATGATGCCCCCTCTATTTGACCGCATCCTTCAGTACCTCCCACTACCCCGCATCCTCAGTCCGCTGCCCGACTTTCTGTGGGCAGTCTCGTTGGGCCTGCCTCCGATCCTTCGGGCCATCTGGTCAAACCCGAGCCTCTTGTTCCAGTTGAAGCGGCTCCAACAACTTGGGCAGTACCAGTTCTGGAAAGTATTCGGTCCCGAGGTCGACAAGAACGCTGCTCCTGTCAAGTGTCAGCTGTTGCCGTGGGCAGAAGGAGTTGTATTTGAGATCGGTGCAGGGCATGGGCACAGTCTCAAATATATGACGCGCCAGCAAATCACAAAGTACTATGCGTTGGAACCGAATACGGATATGTGGCCAGGGCTACGGAAAGCGATCATGGAAGCGGGGTTATCCGAAGAAGACGGCAGTGCGGTACTACTGCCGTATGGGGCAGGCGACATCGACAAATTTGTCGAGCATTTGGGGGGCGAGAACAAGGTCGATACGCTAGTCTCGATCCTCGTATTCTGCTCTGTTCCGAATACACAACAAGTCCTTCCCACTCTTTGCGAGCGCTTGCTCAAGAAAGGAGGGTCTCTGCTTATGTATGAGCACTGTCTATCCCCGGTACCGTCGTCTCGACTATACCAGCGCTTGTGGACACCCATTTGGTCGATCGTCTTCGATGGGTGTTGCCTGGACAAGGATACGATGACGTGGGTTAATCAGGTCAAGTGGTCGGATAAACATGTTTGGAGGAAGGAGGGTGAACCGGAATGGAGTTTGTTCTTCCATGGAGTTGGGAGGTTCATCTTGTAGAGTGCGCTCGGATGATGAAAACACGGGTATGAGCATTAATGGCGTTTGACCAACCAGAACCTCACTGCCTCTTGTGTGGATCGACAAAGGTGTCAGCGGTCGGTGATGAGCACCTATATCGACAGTTGGGTTGATTGGAAAGTTTGAAAGTCAGGGCTATCAGTATCATTTGTCTATAGGTTGCCGATTGATTGCACATAGCAGCATCTTGCTCCCCGCTGCTTTTTGGCACATTCAAGTTCCGAAACATAAAACTTGTTTCCCCAAGTCCCCGACGACTTAATAATCCGTCATTTCGTCTCTCAGTCTGGGATGTCTCGGTCGTCAAACTCGCCCTGTTCACGTCGGTCGGTCGGCATTGAGCATTGAGGCTGACTACGACTGTATTGCTGTGTTCCTGCTCGTGGAGATTTGTTTTGAATCAACTGCCGAAGTTTCGGCTGCTTGCGCTCCATGCGTATTTGCATAACTTGCACACGTCGATGGCATGACAATGCCAAACCAGGACAACCCCATACCCCTCACCCGTTGTCTGGAATTGTCCCATCTCTCCCACACCTCGTAACAATGCAATCTTGTATAATCTCCGGAAGGAGCCCTCGGTACTGTGCCTTTGTCTCCTCGGAGGCCGGAATGTCGTCGAATTTGGGCCGGCGGCTTGGCCGGGCCGTCGAAATACCTCTTTGACCATTCGACCCGGGACAAATCACGGAGAACAGATGTTTATACACGGAATAACAAGCCACCGGAATCTGCCGGTCAAGATAATCGGGTAGGGGAGCTGGCCAATCACGCAGTGAAACAGATCAATTTGAAAGGAGCGGATCTGGAAGCATCTCATGAAAGTTATAATAATTCCATCAGCGCATGTCGTAATATGCGAGATGGTCACCAGGTATATCAGATTGAATGGTTGCAGCGGATCAGTAGGCATCGCACCGGCGACATGGAAATTACACAAGGACGTTCGATTTTTATAGATGCGTGTTCGGCATAGTCCTCTGTTGGGCAGCTCCCAGTTAACCAGGTTCTTGGATGGGATCCGAGATCTTAAAATACAATCTCATAAACGGACAGTCCCAGGATACTCCCATTCAAAAGAAGGACCAGCACAGGATGTATAAGGTGGGCGTAAAGTGGGAAAAGACACTCACTGACGGCATGGTATCCGACCCTTTCTTCGGCCTAGGATCTCCTGCCGTGTCCTCGGCGCCTACAACTGCATTCTTCCTCACCATGCTGCCCTCCACACATGTTCCGTGGGGAGCAAAGCGTTCAGGATTGACTGGGTTCATGCATGCACTGTCGTGTGCGGCAACTATATAGACCAGAGAACAAACAAGGTTTCGCTGTACTGGAGGCGTACTATTTTGGCTCTCAAACTAAAATGTAAGTTTGAGTATAAAACATGCGCATTGCATGGAGCTACAGGACGTACGCACAAGGGTTGACTCGTGATGCAGTCCTGAGTGGAGATCTTAAAACCTTCTCGAGGTGAAGACGTGCTTCCGACGCTTCGGTAGAGGCGCATTGTTGATGAAGCCGGGTTTGAAATATTTAAGCTTGAAAATGTCCTCCAGAGTATTCCCGCTCTTTCGGACGACCACACACAACCCATTTCAAAGGCTGCCCGACCGAACGGAACACGAGGCGCAATACTCGGCGACAACACAGAGCAGTGATCCGACACGTCATGCTCATAAGTACTGTCGGTACTGTGGCGAAGCTGTTATGTTGGGCAACACGCTGGGGAGAGCAGTTTAGGTTTAGACACTGTCCGATCAGGGTAGCTAATATAATACATTAGTGGCCCTGACTCGGGTTCGGTGGCAAACGTTACCTTGCTGATTATCAGGATGGCGTATCGTGGAGAAGGAAAGAACGTCACATAAAGCAAGAAAACCTTGGTGGGAGTAGGGGCGGAAAATTCGCACGCACCCTGCACACCGTCTGAACACGTTGCAGTTGCCATGAGGAGTCGCTTCAGCTGAGCATCCTCATCGTGAGTGTGAAAGGGATTAACGCTGATGCAATGAAATTCGAACATCACGGCACAAGCCGAGAAGGATTTGTGTCCGCGCCATCCTGTGGCGAGTACGTGCAAATTTGCTTCGCCAACCCCTTGTTTCAACTTCCCGTACTGCCCTTTCACCTGTGGAATGGGTACCTTTCCAACGGGCCGATGCCACGACTCTGTGGCAAAATGTGAGCGATGGAGGTCTCCTTCTGGAGGGACGATGTGTCGGCCCATGAGGTCAACGCATCCTCAATTGTGTGTCCAGATGACGAACGAATGCTGCTGTGCTGCTGGCATCCGAGAAAACAATCTCTCATTCCCAGTCACTTGCATATACGCATGTGTATCGGCGAGTTCATCCCGCCCGCAATGGACCAAGGACTTTCAATTCCATCAGTGGTCCCGCTCGGCCGTTCACGGGATTCTTTCCTCGACCAGCACGGAATTGCAGTCGCAGTGAGTTCCCTGTTTCCATCTTTCCCCACCCAAAATATTCTCATTGATGGTAAAATAAATGGATAGACGTCCTCCCAGCAACGGGATCTGTCGAATGACATGCTGGTTTGGACCGGCTCCGAGACAAGCCGCGGACGTGGGTCATCTTGCGATGCTGGGTTATTCTTCGGCCAAGAATCACACGATCGCCTTCTGAGTCGAGATTTCAGAGGGTGTATATCAGAAGGCTTTGGTGAAAACGCGGAACTTCCTTTGATCAACGCATATTTCTCTACTGCGGTATTCTTGGTAAGCACGCATGTATTCCTAATGACGCCTCGTTCAGCCCGCATTCCGTGTTAGCCTCCAGCGTGATGGCATCCCCACTATCATCAAAACGCTTCTTGCTACCGTGCGTCAAATCAATGACGGCTGGTCAAGTTTTGTATCTTCGATTCCCAGTCGGCCGGGCTCTTCCCGACTCTCCGAGACCCAACCAAGACTCGTGTGACGAAGCACAAACGTATAAAAGCATGTTGGACTTGCTAACACCGTTTGCCGTAACTCTCCCCTCGCTGTCGCTCTCCGCATCCTTGTTACTGTATTGTCATAATGGCTTCAACTGTCGATATAATCGCTTCTCCCTCCCTCCATAAGGCCGGTCTGTCAGATTCGCTTTGGCGTCGAGTTGCCAGAGTCGCCATGCGGCCGCTCGACTCCCTGGCAGAATCACTGGTGGTTGGGTACGCATCTCCCCTTGCCTATTTACGGTCGCATTTACACAGACGTAGTTTCCTTGGAGGGCTCACTCGTGGACAACTCCGAATTATAACGCCTGCAACCGTCTACAACTTCCCCACCGAAGAAGCCGAAGGGAAAATTCATCTCGGCGTCTACGATGTCGTTGGCGATACCACCGACATTCACGCTACGATTACAGTACGGAATGAGAACTTCTGGCTTCGCGTGCTCACTACGTCCGACCTCGGCTTCGCAGAAGCCTACATGATGGGAGAGATAGACGTGGATGATTTAACGTCGCTTTTTATGGTGCGTCATTGATTCATCCTAGGCAGAGTATTGCCTCACATCGTGGCAGCTGTTTATCTACAATCGAGACTCCCTTGCATCTGTATCATCATTTAAGTCATATCTTTCCTACATTCCCACCTTCGGTTCTCGCAAACTGCTCGACCTCACGGCATCGCTGGCGACACTCGACAATGCCAAGGCCAATGTCTCAGCGCATTATGACATGTCCAACCGTATGTTTGAAGCGTTCCTCAGCAGTGACATGACATACTCCTGTGGTCTCTTTGAGTCGATAGACGAGGACTTGATGGAGTGCCGAAAGGGGGAAGAATTGCTCGGTCTTGACCCCCTGGAACGAGCGCAGCTCCGCAAGCTAAGGTACGTAAACTGGCTCCGTTATATCAGTTTCAAAGCTCATTTTCCTTTCCCAGACACATATACAATAAGGCCGATATTCGAGATGGACACAGGGTCCTTGAGATCGGGACTGGATGGGGGTCGTTCTCTATTTTTGCTGCAACCCTCTCAAAATGCACCATCGATACTGTTACCCTCTCAGAACAGCAAGCCGCGCTTGCTCGAGCACGCATCGCCCGAGCTGGCCTGGAAGAACGGATTCACGTGCATGTTATGGACTACCGGAATATTCCTTCCGAATGGGAAAGTCAGTTCGACCGCTTCGTATCAATTGAAATGATGGAGCACGTTGGCGCCGAATATATGGACACGTATTGGGGCATGGTCAACAGGATGTTGAAGAAGAATGGAGCCGGCGTGGTCCAAGTCTCAACCCTTCCTGATGCTCGTATGTTCTTTCATATTGTGTTTTCGGGCATTGAGACTAATGCCCTGAAGGGATGAAAGCGTATTCGAAGGATGTTGACTTCATCCGAAAATGGATCTTCCCGGGCGGGTTCCTGCCATCGGCCAGTCTGCTCCTAAGTACTCTCAACTCCGGTAGCGAAGGCCGTCTTGTTGTCGAATCCGTCGGTAATATTGGTCCGCACTACTCGAGAACGCTTCGTGAATGGCAGCGCCGTTTCTTAACGACCTTCGAGAGTGTTGTTGTTCCGGAATTACGCCAACAGTACAATGTGGCACGGGCTGAGTGCGAGAGCTTTAAGAGGAAGTGGAACTACTACTTGTGCGTAATTGCATCTGCCTCGATCCGTTATTCTCATTACATCTCCCGCAGCTCCTACTGCGAGGCAGGATTTTCCACCCGCACTCTTGGCTGCCATATCATCTCCTTCACACGGGAAGGAAACATCGAGCTGGGCTGCGATGTCCGCTGTGACGAGGACATATAGGACCTCGATGTTGTTTGTTTGTTTTGGTTCGATCCCTCTCGCCCTGGGTTCTTTGACTGCACCGCCCGTGCGTTTCTACTCTCCCCTCGCCGCACACGCGGCACCTACGCCTATAACAAAAGCAGTCGCTAAACGATTGAATAATGTCTTTATTCGGGTATCATTATTTCTTGGATGACCTCATCGCCTGTAGTTAGTAATAATTTGAAGTGCATTCGGTATTTTGAACGAGTGGTCTGGATCGTTCGTGGATATGAAAGAAGTGGATATTCGCGAAAGGGCCGGAAGGTACGGGGCCGAGTGTTGATGTATTTGACTACCAGAATGAGAGGTAATTCCTCCGATGACCCCTTTCGGGCGCATTTTGCCTACAATGACCCCTCGGGCGCAAATCCCTGAAATGACCCCAAGGCCTGCCCTAAGCAACCACAGACCTTCCAATTAAGGAAAGGGGTGATAACAGTTCAAGATGCGCTAGGGTCCGGTCTCTTCGTGTCGGTTTATAAAGCATGTTCCGACGATTAATTCGCAGGCTTTGTTTTGTTTTTTCATTAGTTATGTTACAGTAAATATCAATTTATTCTGCATGGATGCCTCGTATAATAATTCACCGATTTTCACCATCGTAAACATAGGTGAGGAAACACCGCACTTTTACAGCAAGGCAATGAATTTTGCAGCAGTTCTTGAAAATAATAGATACCATACACAATGCCAACCAGCTTGTCTTTTGAAAAAGGTCTGTTCTAATAACAAAACATTCACAAAACGCGTTGTTGGATTGACCGGAGGCACGTGCTTCTATTGCCACAGCCACTGCTTTCCTTATTTGGTTACTTAGGGCAGGCCTTGGGGTCATTTCAGGGGATTTGCGCCCGAGGGGTCATTGTAGGCAAAATGCGCCCGAAAGGGGTCATCGGAGGAATTACCTCACTAGAATGACTAAGCTGGTCTAATCACGGTACGCCTGTGCTTCTGTGGCAGTTTCCAATACGTTGCTTCAGGTGGAAGGAAGACGATATCACCCTCCAAGGACGATCACTCCCACATGTTACCTGCGGGGCTGAGGAGAAAGCGTCACCTGACTGCATGGCAGCACACATCGACGTGTAGGTCTACGGCAGAATCGCGGTATAACTTAGCAAACCCGCCCACACTTTCCCACGTCCTTCCACAAGGTTACCATAGTTTCGCGGGCCAAGAGGAGTTACGCGGCGTTAATCATGGTCAAACACCTCCCCTGCTCGGCATCATCATCATACCAGGAGTTTTGAGTAGGGAGGGCGGCAGCACCCGGGTGCTGGAGGAACAAGTCGTCCTGAGCCAAACATGGTCAACGATCCTAAGAACGTACAAGATATTTTTGTTATATCGGTGGCCCGGCCGCCACTATCAGAGCCCTCCCTCTTTCTTTTCCCTGGACAAGCTGCGCACCTCGGCAGGGTTGCACCATAATGAGCGGCTTGGCATTCAATCGGAACAATACGACCGTAAATTTTACTGTACCTGACGTTCCAGGAAGAGTAAGAACACAGCTCGTTCCGGAATCTGCGGATCTCCTGGGGACGAAACTTCCCGATTGTCGGAACTCGAGGACCTAATCCCTAATCTCCTCGGCCGGGGTGTGGCAATGATGCGCATGCCATCAACCGGACAATGGCGTGTCTTTGCATGCAGGAAATGAAAAGTGACTGGTTGGCTGGAAATAGCACAAGCATAACAGGGAGATGGGAGCGAGGCTGAGTCGCATTACCAACTTTCTAACCGAACAGGGCTCTCCCACCCGATTCCCTTCTGGGACTGCTCCGACATTGAGCAGTTCTGACAGGAAAAGGAATTCCAGAGTCTAGATCCCACGCCCTCTAGCGCAGCGCAGGCATAGCTCAGCGTACTGGGAAGGCCACGCATGGAACACGACATCCATATCGGTTACTCACTGTCCATAACGTTACAGCAGAGCTTATAACTTCTAGATCTTGAAGTTCGATATGCAAGGCATGTGCAAAACGGTCCGATGGTAAACCAGCTGCGCCGGGATGGTGCTTGAATACGTTGTGCCGGGGAACGCCGTCTCGCGGTCGGCAAGGCGACTTTTTTGACGAGCAGAAGAGATTTGTCGCTGGTGATTTGGCTACAAGCCTTCAGCCCGTTGTGGATATCATCACCTTCCGTTGTACGCCAATATCATGTTGTTCAATGTCTTTCCTGAACGGTCGACGACGTTACGCGAGCTCTGATTACGAGCTCGCCATATGGACGAAAGGCGGCCGATCACGGTAGACATGTGCAAGGCAAAGGCTGGGACCTCGAGGCGTCTAGCGTAGAAGCGGTTGTGTCCCACTCCTCAGGAACGCTGTGCCGGTTCACCAGACGAGGACAGCATGAGTGAGAATGTCGGTCGGGTGGTTGCTGAATGTTGTACGTGAGGGAAGAAGAGAATGTCAAGGTGTAGGATTGTCGCTGTGACATTGGGAAGGCTGTGAGAGGGAAGGGAATGTCATTGTTGGAGTCGGGCAGCAGTGTGACAATGAGGCTTACGCACCCTAAACGCACCTCTCGGGAACGCACAGGGCCGCAGGGACAAAGGGGATGATACGGTCACCTCGCACGCCTGAAGCATCCTCATTCAGACCTGGACAAGCACCTCATGCAAAAGTGAGCGTGGAGTCTGATTGGAAAACCGATTTATTCATAGAACTACATTGGCGTACTCGTTGGAGCGATCGTAAGTTGAGAAGACACGGACATGGGTAACCGGGGTACATTATACCAGCGAGTAACTGAGTGCGAGAGCCAAGAGAGAGGAGATCCCGGCCATTGGAGGCCTACAGTTCCTCATCTCACAACTCCTCGCACCCGAAGGTGTTCTCTCCCGAGTATGTGACGTATAAGAAGTTGTCCTCGTCTCTATCCAACGCTGATCAGTCAGCGATTCCGGCGCCTAACGGGACGACGCACTTGTGCTCCTCGTAAACCGCACTCATAAGCTGCGAAGTTGCCGGGTTCATATCGTTGACGAAGATGAAGATGGCTTTCTCTGGCGCAAGTTTGATCCGTTTACGGATTACGTACACGAACTGCCCGACGGTGAGGTCCTATGCACCGTAGTCAGCATCGCATCCAATTCTAACGAAACAGGTATGGACGCACGGATGGTACCAGATACTTCTTCTTGTCGATCGTAGGGACGTCCGACCTGTCCTCCTTCTCGCAAATCACCTACGAAGAACAAAGCACACGTAAGCGCCTCCTATCCCTTCGCACCAGCATTCACATACCGGAATCCGGTCGGGATACTTCTGCCGAATACGCTCTGCCTCTGCCTTGCGCTTCTCTGGAACGACAGGTCAGCATAAGCTCGATGGTGATGGGAGACGAGGACGTACCGAACGGATGCTCATCCTTGAACTTTGAGGAACGTGGCATTCTCGTCCTACCCTTGATCAGCCAGTGCAACATTCTCTCACATCGGTCTGCTCACTGTTATTCACTATTACACAGTAGACGGGGTGGTTAAGATGGTCGTTTGCTCTTGAGAAGTTGCTTTAGAAAGCGTCGTTGTACGTGTATGCGGGATGGTGGTCACCAGTCAAGCTGCGGAGAATTGCCTCCGTGTTCCCTAAGAGCACTAAGAGGTCGGGATGAGTCGCCCTCGGCCAAGGGACAACGTCAGCTCGCACAGTCCTCGACCGGCACAACCCAAGTGAGCAAGCAGTGGATTAGCATCCCATTAATCGTAAAAGTACAAGGAAGTGGAGTCGTAATGCGATCGTATGCGGAAAAGAGTGGACAGGGATGAAGGATAGACAGACAGCAGGATACATTACACCAGCCATTAAGAGAGCAGCACCAGTCTAGAGAGACTGCAGTCACAGACAGCAAACAATCACAACGGTTCATATCTCATCTCCTCTCCAAACGTGTTCTCCCCCGAGTATGTGACATATAAGAAGCTGTCTTCATCCCTATTGGCGTAAACAGTCAGCTCCACTCCCAAAACAGCTCAAATAAGAGTAACGCACTTGTGCTCCTCGTATATCGCACTCATGAGAGACGCCGTCGGTGGCAGGATCTCATTGACAAAGATGAAGATCGCCTTCTCTGGCTCGAGCTTGATCCGCTTGCGGATCACATACACAAACTGCCCAACTGTGAGGTCCTACCCGACACGAATCAGCACCGCTATCCCACTTCACTTCGTACGGGAACGAGCACGCACAGAGGGCACAAGATACTTCTTCTTATCGATCATAGGTACGTCCGTTCGGTCCTCCCTTTCGCATATGACCTACGGCGAGCGTCAGCGTATCCTCCCTCCCTTCCCGCCTAACGCACAGGGATCCGATCCGGGTATTTCTGCCGGATCCGCTCTGCTTCGGCCTTGCGCCTCTCTAATAAAGTGTGAGTTGACATGTAGGAAGAGGAGAGGGAGGACGGACCAAACGGGTGCTCGTCTTTGAACTTGGAACGCATCCTTATCTTGCCAGCGTCAGCCTGTGTACTCAATTCTCACTCTGCACTCACTCGCTAGTGCACAGTAGAGGGATAAGATGCTGATAGGCTGTTCTGGTAAATAAGGGCTTCAAATGTAGATGTACTCGTTATGAGTAACGGTGACAGTGACAGGCAAGCGCAGTGTACAAGCACGAGATAGCCACCGATTCGTGAGTCGCGCGTCGTACTAACAAGGAAGGGGTCGCCCCTTATTCGTTAACCAGTCAGGGGGTTCGCAGCGGTGTCGTATCTGACAACTCCTGAGTGAGGCACGAGATGTTCGTTAGTGGGATGATCGGTGTCCGACGACGAAGTCACGCTCGCCTGACGACCTCAACAAGCGGGTTCACGCCGGGACACGTGACTGGATTCATTCATTCGAGCATAGGTACACGACACAGTGTATACATGATATCACTAGACAGAGGCATGCAGGGGATGCAGAAAAGGGGAATTCGATGCAAGGAAGGTGGTGGTGGTGGGATTGCATGAGAACGGGATGGGATGGGATGGGATCGTGTAGGAGATGTATGAATGCAAGCCATTAGAAAGAAAACGTACAGCAACGCTGTCCAAGCAACAACAGCGTCATTTTTCAGAGGTCCAACTGACCAGCCAAGTGTCTCCACACACCACAAGAAATGTACAGCACTGTCAATCGCTCTCCATAGCATCTGACGGTATAGGCGGGCCGTCGGCCGCTCGCGTGCACATGCTACTTTCTTGCACAAACTGGGGGGTCGGTGTTGGCGTGGGCGCGATCGAGTTCGTCGGCGTCGGGTCCATCGAATCCCCCATTGTCGGGGTATCGCCATCCATCACCAGCATACCAGAGGGTACGAACCCCGTCTCCATTTCCACAAAAGGGAGGTTGGACCGCGTGTCCACCTCGGGCATCTCCACCGGCGGGGTGATCAACGGCCTCCCACTCCCCTCGCCTTCGGCCATGGAGCGCATGCCCTCTGACCTCCTACGCTTCGTCGGGCTCCTTCCGTCTGCATCTCGACCATTTTCTTGCATGTACGTGTGCGTGTGCGTGTGGGCGTGAGGGTGCGTCGGGGTACGGGGCTGGATGGGGGAATCTTCGTCCCCTCCATCTCGGTAGAGGAGGAATGTCTCCCCGTGTTTATCCTCTCCTCCCAGCCCTCCTACTGGTGCTGGAACAGCATGACCCTGATTCTCCAGCTCGAGCGCTCCCGGTCCTCCCTGACCATGTGGTAAAGCAAATGAGAACTGGCCCATCCCGTTCGTTGTAAGCGGGACAGACGTAGACAGCCCCAGGTCCAAAGCCCTCGACTTTGCAGGAGGAGTAAGCGTCGGTGTCCCTGGCTGGGCAGCAATAGATGCGTTTCCTTCTGATGAAGGCGAGGAGGAGTCCGCATCGTCCTCCGGGTCGGTAGTCATGAGCGGTTCGTCCGCTACACGGGTATGGTTTAGCGTATGCCTTGGCTGGCCAGAGTCGTCCATGTTCTGCTCGTCCTCCGCGGACTCCTCGCCGTCTTCGCCCATCCCGAGCCTAGCAAGCTTCTTCACATACACAGGTGTCGGACTCCGCCTCCTCTTCCTGCTCTCCTCCCCCTCCCCCTCTAGGGAGGAAAGCGTCAACCCGGCTATAAGATCCAGTTCTCCCCGCGGTATGATGCCGTACATCTCCAGCCACGCTCTAGGCCTGTGCTTGAACTTGAACGTCACGAGCGGTTCGTCCTGCGCGTCCGGCTCGACGTTTATGATATTTCTGAGCCTAAGCCTGTGACTTATTTCCGTTCTCCCCACTCTGCGCATGCGATCAACTCACGTCACACGAATGACTAGGATAGGGGACCCACCGGATCGTGTGCAGCCCTTGACTGCTCGTAGCGAAATACCGATGTTCCTCGGGCGGGGGCAACTGGCCATACTCTACCTTCACTCGAAAGAACTCGACAGTGATCGTCCCCCTCTCGGACCACATCTCCGTATCCCTCGCTTGGATCCTAGCAGCTCCGTCTTCCTCATCTTCGTCTTCCTCCACTTCTGGGGGGTCGAACTCTAAACAAAGGGGTTAGTGACCCGTGCATAGGAGGAGGGAGAAGAGCACCTTCAATAGGCACCACTCCCTGAGCGAACTCGAACGGTCTTTTCTCTCTCGAGTTGAGACGGTTCCCAGATAAACAGCAGTGGTGCATCTTATCTGCTATCCGTTTGTCGAGGAGGACTCCGTCCGCGAACAGCCGGATGCGGAGCGTATCCTGCCCCTTCCCAAGGTTGCAGTTCACGCCGAACCTCTGGTGATCGTCAGCCGAGTTCAGAGACGCGTAGGCACAGGAGTAGGTGACTCATAGGAGTAGGAAGGAGTCATAAGCGCGGGTAGAGATAGATGTATGTGGGAAGATAGTGAAGAGAAGGACGTACCTGGCCTTCGTTTGACGCCACCCAGCATGTAGCCATCCTCCCCTCATGAGATACCTGTACTTGGTACTCCTCCAGACGGGACTCGTTAGAGGTGATGATGGCGGAGTAGCTGCCGAGTCTCATTGCGGTGGTAGTGGTTGGGTTGACGCCAGTGTTGCGGTGTGGTTGGACGTGACTGTGTAGAACTACGAGATGGTGGTGGTAAGAGGTCAAGATGGGAGTTTGCCAATGTTAGATCAGATAAAGGTCTAACTACTTGTTCGAAGAGAGTAAGTGAGAGGTCAGCAAGGGGCCGCTGAGGAACAGTCGCGTGAACATTGAACGCACAGCCACGTCCATCATACTCAAAGAGTAAGTCTATCTCATAAGTATTTATTCCACACTTTACTGGACATTTGCAACTGAGTTAGAGGATGGGGGATGTGCGGGTGTATGTTGATGTTATCGAGTTATGGCAGGTGAATATCTCATCGAATCATGCATCTGACGTCAAGTCACCCTCCTACCTCCAAGCACTGTACGACAATTATGGCACTCATGGTCAACTCTGGTTAATCCATCCCTTAACAATAATACACTGCCCTCCAATCAAACAAACACAGATCAGGCCAGATCATGATGGTTTTGTCCCTGGCTCGTGCGCAGCAAGTACCGTTAACGGCGACGCTCCTCCGGACATGTCTCCGGCCAAGCATCGACCGAATTTTGCACCAACTCGAACTTGAATAGCCTGTTATTCTGGCTCTAACTTGACATGGTTCTCGAGAATGTACTGTCTAACTGTGGGGAACCCATGCTTGTAGACGATGTGGATCCTGAGCTCTGGATTGTCTGGAAATTCCTGGATGGCGCGTAGGTAAGCCAAGTCTATCTGCAAATGCATTATTCACGACTGCGTAATACTCTTCTTCCCAGAACTGCCTACCTTTGTAAACGTTATCGGTGAAAGGGACGACCCTGCACGTCCCAGTGCAATCCCCTCATCTCGCACTTAGACGACCTTGGACTGTACTCAAGGCATTCATCCACGACGCCCTCCACATGCACCCCTCTTACACATGCTGCTTACGTCCCCTTGCCAAGTCTTTTACAAAGGGTTGATAATCCGGGATCAATTACATGTCATCATGGATGAGTCAAGAATTCAACCGCAGTAAGTGGAACACAATTTCCGAATCATAAATTACTGACGCCTTCCAAAGATAATTGATCACGTCGAAATGGTATATAATCGCACACAGTGTCTGCTCTGCAACCCCCAGCAAGAACAATGTCGAACGACTCCTCCAATCCCAATATCGTCATCCTCGGCGCAGGCGGCTCAGGCAGCAGAGTCGCACACCACCTCTCCCAATCCTCTCCAAAGAAATACAACATCATCCTCGTCGATCAGCGAGGGTACTATATCCACTGGCCAGCGATGATCAGGATGGTCGTCGCTGCTGACCACCACATCGCGGAGAATGCCCTCATCCCGCTGGATAAGAACTGGGTCGACGGGAATGGGAAGCTCGTCGTGGGGAAAGTCGAGTCTATCCTCCCTGCAAAAGGGAGTACAGGAGGAGAAGTAGTGCTCCAGTCTGGAGAACGCATCCCGTACGCCATCCTAGTGCTCGCTACTGGAAGCACCTTCGAAGGACCCCTCGCTCTCCCGGATACGAAACCCGAAACAGTGCAGTGGGCGCAAGACTGGCATAAGCGAATCGACGCTGCTCGGAGCATCGTACTCGTCGGCGGGGGCGCAGTAGGGGCAGAGATGGCAGGAGAGATAAAGGATATTTGGCCTGTGCGCGCCTACTCTCTTCTTGGGCTGTGAGCATCGCTAATCCCTGCGTAGGAAAAGAAAGTCACCTTAGTGCACGGAGACCGGGCGCTGCTTAACGACACCTATCCGGAGAAGTTCCGCCAGTGTGTAGCTCAAGGCCTTTCCTCGCGAGGCGTAGAGTTCCTCTTCTCGGACTACGTCGACACCCTTCCTGCGCCTGGGGAGAGCGTCACCACCCGCAACGGGAAGATCCTGCAAGCCGACCTCGTTATCCCCACCCGCGGAGGGAAGCCCAACACCGACCTCATACGCGCCGCATTCCCCAACACAGTGGACGCCCAAGGCCGCGTCACTGTCCTCCCTACACTGCAGATTCCCGGTCACCCAACAGTCTTCGCAGCAGGGGATATCACCTCCCTTCCCGAGCAGAAGCAAGTAGCGAAATACCCGTCGCACGCGTCGCTCATCTCCTCCAACATCCTCGCCCTCACTGCTGGCCAGGCCCCGGAAAAGAAATACAAGCCTCAGATTGAGATGATCTTGATCACGAATGGGAAAACGGGGGGATCGGCCTACGTGGGCCTGCTTTGGGGCTTGATGTTGGGCGATTGGTTTGCGAGAACAATGAAGAGCAAGGAACTGTTGGTGGGGATGGCGAGGAAGGCTTTGGGGTATTCGTAGGTGAGGGGAGTTGGGCGTGATGGGATGGAAAGTGTTGCGATTGTAATGCGTATATGATTGCTTAATAACCGGTTTGTTCCTTGTTTCTCCTGGGAGCTGCGGTAGCAATCCGCCGGTGATACGCTCAGGCGCACACGTTCGTGCTCTTGTTCACGCCCGCTCAACAGTCACCATATCTGAAAAGTCAAACAAAGCAACCAAGAAATCCGCCTATTAATAAATCCTTTACACTCGGGAGCCGACCTAAGCGCTCGGGCCGATCTCCGTTACATTGTGCCGAGAGATGTCCGACGTTGTAGGGGATCACGAGTCTCCTCCTTTGCTTGTCCACCGCCCTCCAGCATGCCAGTGCACCCTACAGCAGCACCTGGGGATCATGTACCCCTTCTCCCTTCTCTCCTCATCCATCACCTGAATCGAGTTGAGAAGACACCATGGCCACCCTGTTAGACGCCCTCGAAGCCCACCTGAACGTCGACGTCGATTCCCTCTCTCCCACAATCTCCACTTCGATCCCGTTCAAGCCGCATGACCAGACGTCGAACCAGCTCTGGGCGCTGGACGAGATGACCAAGCCTGAGAACAGGGAGTTGGTCGAGGGCGCTGTGAGGGAGTATTGGGTGCGGGGGTGGGAGAAAGTGTGTGATCGGATCGTACGTCTTCATTAATTCGGTCATTTCCTGCTGGACTGATTGAATATTGTTCCGCATTCGCTGTAGTGCGCTCTGCTCTGCGCACGCAACATACCTAACATCACCGGCCGCGTGTTGCTCCAAGTCTCCTGCCGGTTCGCATACGACAAAGACGAAGTCATCTCCCACGCCTGGTCCTACGTCGACGAACTGGAAAAAGTCGGGATCCCCAAGTCCCGCGTGTGTATCAAGATCCCCTCTACCGGGCCGGCACTGAACGCTGTCTGTCCGTTGAGGGAGAGTGGGATCGAGACGCTTGGGACGGCGTTGTTTGGCTTGCCCCAAGCGATTGCCGCTGCTCAAGCTGGGTGCTTGTCCATCAGTCCGTACTTCAACGGTACCCCTCCCCCCCCCCCTTCCGTGTTAGCTCGAACATAGCTGACGCCGTTGGGCGATAGAGCTCCGTGCACACTTTGACAAGTCGCTCTGGCCGGATGTCGCCGATCCCGCGAAGGATCATCCCATGTCGGCTCGGATCGTGCATATAGTACAGACATACACGAAGCTCGCGAAAGAGACGGGCGAGCGGATGCCACTTGTCAAGCTCGCTAGGTGCGACTTCATCCTGATCCGCAGGGGTACGTATCTGACGATAAAGCAGTTTCTTAAGCGCAAAGGAGGCGATGGCAGCTATCGAACTAGGCTGTCATGCCGTCACCCTCCCGGGCCCGGTGCTCGACGCTCTCAAATCCACACCGGCTACCTCTCCCCCACCCTCACGGCCCAAAGACCTCCCCGCATACTCCAACCCGCCCGCTCTACCCCCCCATCTCCAAATGCTCGAAAACACCGACCCGCTCGCTTCTGCCGACTGGGACGGGCGGCTCGCGAGCCCCGACGTGGACTATCTCGTCAACAACGGGGAACTGCTGGACGAGGCTATCCATGCGGATCCGGTGACGAGGGAGAGACTGGGAGATGCTCTCGAGGCGTTTGTCGATGCGGAATTGAAGATGCAAGCGTTTGTGGAAGGAGTGGCACATGAGTTGGGGGTCGAGAAGAAGCCTGTCGATGTGTGAAATGAGCTTGTCAGGATATGGTCGGGCAGAAGATTCAAAATAATGATGGTTGCCTGAGGAGAATGTTGAAGAGAGGGTACAATCATGTTGTGTGATTGTGGAATGAATGGTTACCCAAACAAGTGTTGACAATGATTGCCAGCATGAAGGATTGAAGTTTTTTTGTTCTTCCTCTATCCCTCAACTGGATGATGGAATTTTCTCAGGAAACTTCCATCTTCTAGTTGTGTGCAACAAATGTTGACGTTCTTAGCCATAAGTTTGGGCAACAATTTCGAAAGTCGACAAATGAGTTGGAATACATGCGATCTTGTGGAATTTTCAAAGTATTGTTGGCTCACACAATATTGTGAACAGACAACAGTTCTTATTTTCGCATGACTACATCCCCATTCAGTTTATCGCATAGACAGTCAAAAAGTATGCAAGACTAGAATCTCGCCAAAAATGATACATGAAGAAGAGCAGCGCAATGCACATGTTTTTCCTTCCACAGTTTCTCGCTTTTTACGCCAGCTTGTGCGGCCCCGTCACCGATATCTTCGTTGTGTTGAACGGTAAGAGATGATGTGCATACGCGAGACCGTGGGTCTCGAGCGAATTGTAGATGTGGGCACATGGTTGTGGATGTGGATGTTGGAGGAACATATCGACGATGGGGTCGCTGGAGGGGGGGTGTAAGAGAATGTGCGGCAGTGAGAGTATGCATAGACAAGTCCAGTGTCTGGTTTGCTTTGATAATGCAGTGTGTGGTGCGACGGGGTCTACGGCGAAGAAGTGAGACTGGGAATTGTGCCTGTGCTGCTGGGAGGACAGTTTGAGGGCATCGCAAGAGACAAGGACGGACGAAGACCAAGAAACGAGAGCCAAGATCGAGACCAGAACAGAGAAACGAGAGACGAGGTTGGATGAAAGGAGCGACAGACACATGGTCGTTCTCTACTCGTCTAGACGCGGTTGGAGTACTTCTCAAACTCATCCTCCGAGTCAAGGGCTTGTGCCTTAACAGACTCGTCCACGTCTGAGCGCTCGATGTCGTAAGGTGAGGCACCCACCGTGCCATCACGGTCATGCTGTGTAGTTACAGTGACCTGGATCGGGTCCTGCACGGAAGGTTAACGTCTGAAATCCGAGGTGTTGAACAGCTCCTTACGTTCCTCCTCCTTCCAGCGGACATCGCAAAGCCGCTATCTTCGATAGCACCGGTGCTGCCATTACCAGGCTTGGACAAGCCGTACTTCTTCACCGCAGGGCTAGGTGTCATTTGGAAGCTGCGGCTGCCGGCGAGCTGCTCCATGAGATCGTGCCTGCTGTTGACGTTCACCATGAGGGAGATGTGGTACAAACGGACGCAGACGAAGTTGACGCCATTGGGCCAGCCATTGCGGATGGTACCGAACTGCACTGCGACGATGAAGGCCAGAATAGCCGTTAACCTATTGAAGTGTCAAACCACGTTAGTCACGTGCAAGACAAACGTCGCGTACATGTTAGTCTCGATGGTGATGACAACGAGCTTGTCGATAACGGACTGGGTGCGCTTAAACGCGGTCTTGTTTGTACGGAGCAGGTACACCAGAGCGATAGTAATGACGACATCCTGTTGAAAATGTCAGCTATATGCGCGTGTTCACCACATTCTACATACTGCCGCGGCAGCACCAGCTTGCCAGCACCAGACACCATAGGTGAAGGAGCCGAAAGAGCTCTGCCTGACGAGCCTGAAAGCCATGATGGTGCTCGCGATGGCCCATGCGAGTTGGAAGACGGAAATAAGGATGATGACACCAGCAACGAGCATGCCGACCCATTTGATGGTACGACTGCCGAGAGTGTAGACGCGCCATGCGAAGAAAAGTTGTACTACAGTAGCGAGGATACCGTTGAGGAGGAGATTGATGTTGTAGGACCAGTCCACAAAGTCGAGGCCGACGAGGTTTCCCCAGTGGGTGACGAACCAGAAGTAGACACACTTGGGTAAGAGGGCCGAGTGCAGGAAGTTGAGAAAGGCTGCGCCGTAGACGAGGGTCTGCATCTGCCAGCTGTCCTTGCTGAAGTTCTTGTAATAAAACCAGGTTTGATAGACCGACACGCCCGTGAGCGTTTGCGCGATCATGGTGCCGATGAGGACCGCGCCTGTCAGGGGTAAGTATATGCGCCTCCTATTGTGCTCTGTGAGGCATAGAGTACGTACCGAGCGAGTCAGTGAGATCCACCTGGGTAGGGGATGGGACATAGGCGGGAAGGTCGGGGAGAGCTGCGAGAGACATTGTGGTTGAGGGTACGCGGGGGAACGACGGCTAGTGGGGAGCAAGTGGATGTGGGAAGCGGGGACGAAGGAGGGGGAGTGAGTGGTGTGGTGGTCAAGAGAGTGATGACTTGGGAAAAGGAGAGGAGTGGACGGATCGTCGATGTGAACGGGGTATTTGTGGGTGCGGGTGAGACAGAAGGAAGGTTATCCCGATCTCATTCGACTCTCTTGCGGCGTTGAGCGAAAGATATGTGATGAAAGGAAAGAGGAACGTGACCAAGAGAAGCTTTCCTAATCTCCCGAAAAGCCACATTCCAGCCCCAACTGCAAGTCCATTTCCTTGTTGGGATAATTGTCTCACCCACGGATGCAAGTACAGCAACTTCACCCGCTGCCTTCTTGCATCCATGGACCAAAGAAGGCACGGGGGCTTCTAACCTCCTGGCCCCCCTTTTCAGCATTTCACCTCGGCAGAAACGCCATCCTCACCTCGGTCCTCATACGATCCTTGTTACCATGTAATTGCTGTACGCATCACCTGCCTTAGCGCAGTCTAGCCTCGCCCGCCTCCGCCTATTAGCTGGATAAAATGGGCCATTTCCGCCGCTTTTCACGCTAGAAACGACCCCACGTAAAGCTAAGGGTGGTCTCCCTCGGCGTTTCTGATAGCAACAAGTTCACGTCGTGCCCCCAAAATTCAGGACTATTGTCCATGCAGACGACATCCGGCAGAATCAAAGCATTGTCAGGCGGCACCTGAATATTGGAAAGTGTCTCTGGACGACGCTCCCGATTCGGTACAGATAGTCTTCGTGAGATAGGACACAGTGAGAACTTGTTGATGTCCATGCGGACTTCATCGACCGTCAGCACAGGTTTGCGTAACAAGTGAGAAGGTGCAAGGTTCTGGGGACCCCGGACAGAGTTCTCATTAGGCGCGGAACGGGCCCTGGCCATACAGCCTCGGCACCCGTCAAGTCACGCTGTCACGCTGTTCCTTACATCACCATGCAAAGCTCCGCCCGTTTTCGGAGGCTGAATGTGCGCTTATGGAAATAGACTTGTATATTCGGAGAGCTTCTTTCTCAATTTACTTTGTAGACCCTTCAGATATAAAGACGGACATAGGGAGGTTATTAAGAGGTTATTCTCAGCGTTACTTACATCTCGCCGTATTTCTAATCTTACTCACTGTAGTTACTCAAAAACAGTTGCTCGAATCAGCGCGTTCTTTGAAGAAGCCTCGGTTATTCTCGGTTCTCACAGTCCCTATCCGGCCTCCTCGGCGACAGCTTCTCCTGACCCATGTAAGAGTATTTCAGAGACGCACGCAACAAGTCAGCGTCAACATATTTTATCTTCTCAGTCCCTCTCTCTGTTTGAAAACCATACAATTCTGATACAGGTCGAGTCGCAAAAGGCGATGAAAGTGCCCACGCGTCCGAGTCGGGCATGTGTGGACTCCGATCAGAACCTCACCTATCTTGAGAAGGAATCACGCGGGCCTCCGATCGTGCCTGGGTTCCGTATATTCCGAGTTGCTATGGATGTGGAGAAGAGAAGTACAGTTGTGGGGAGATGTTGTGGAAATGATCATGGCGATATTGTTACAACGGTTTCCAGTTGTATATTGAAGTTTCGCATTCTAGCGAGTAGAGAGGGTGAACGTGCGCAGAGATATTTGTGGCACGAGGCGAGTGATGAGAGGTCCGTTCCAGAGACTCGGCCCCTGCGAGTGAGACGTAAATGGTTCGATTACATTTAGTGCCCGGCCTGGCACACGCCGCCTGCGCTCATCGGTAACCCAGCTCACCGGGACACCTGCAACGCTCTTGTCCCGGCGCACCTCGTGCTGTACCCTGAATTCTCGACCCTTCGTGTGAAGAGCAGTCCATCTGCTTCTCAAAAAGCGCCCTTTAACCGACGGAAGCGCTCGGAGCCCGATCTGTAATTTGACATGGCAATCAGAGGTTCCCTTGCACAGGGTGCCATTTCCGGGGTTTATATTGCGGAACGGAGATAGACCCGGATTTTGAGGTGTTACGCCGACGCCTCTCTGCTTGATCGCTGGCGGTGCGCCTGTCGATGCTGGAAATTCTATGCTCTCACTGCGCCACAACCCTGGGTTCCGCTCAATCGCTCGCAATCGGTGGGTGGGAATGCAGAAAAAATGCATTGTATCAAGGTCGACAAAACTATTTTGAATTTGACAGTTGGGAATCCCAAGCTTGTGGTATCCAGAAGAAGAACAATGGGGAAAATTGAAATGAGCCAGAAAGATCGATGAGATATGCCATACAGAATTGGATGAGATACAGTTCCAAGCCGCCGCAATTCAGGACGTTACTCGCGATCGGTGGTGGAGTGTCATTCTCTTCATATCGGTTACATAGTCGGCCTCGCCTGAGAGATTGAAAGAGTTGAAGTCGAGGTCGCTGACGATGTCTCGTGCTAAAGCGTAGGTCAGCGACCGTGCTGTAGTGTCAGGATATCAATACTTACGCGCAAAACCATATGCCTGTAACCACTCTATGACAGGAATCAGCGCTGGAGGGGTGTAGCATTGAGAGGCTCTTACCTTGTGGACGATGCTTAAAGTGGAATGTAGCGCAGGGACGGTCGCCATCTTCTCCCCATGCCCAAGATACAGTTTTCCTTGATGATTTCTTCGTCGGTGAGTGACCCTTCTCTCCGACTCTGCGGTGTTGATCAGAGGATGAAGGAAGAACTAGCCAGACATGTGACTCACAGAACAGTCTTAAGGCGCTCCTGCGCAGGCATTTGCGAGCTCGGTTCGTGATCCTTCAGTGGCTGGAGATAGAGAACGTCCACGCGTGTCATCCGCAATGTAATGACGCCTCTCTTCCTCCATGTTTGAATATCATCAAGTTCCTCCACAGCCATTTCATCTTCGTCAAAATCTGATTTTTACGTGAGCAGTCATGGAGGAGTCATGCGTGTTAGGATACGACTCACCCTCAGTTGGTTTCACCGCCGGTTTGAACAGATATGGCAAAACGTTCCAGCTGTTAGTCCTGAGGCCATTCATAACGGTTTCATTGGTATCAACGGCAATCCTGGTATCAAGCATTTCCCCATCGGCATAGAGCTCCATGCGAATCCCGTCGGTCTCGTGCACCATGCCCCCAAAAGCACATTCCACTCTAAACGCCTGTATCACTTGGGTTGGCAAGGAGCGCGTATGTTGATGTAAGACACGCACAGAGCCTTCATCGCTTGGAATCCAGCAAACCGCCTCATTGCTTGCCTCATCCACCTCGACACCGTACTCCGGCAGGGCGATGTCACTGCTTACCAGGATGCATTGATACGGTCCAAGTTGCATCTTCCGCTGCCAAAGCCTCCGCAGTTGCTGATCTATACTAGGTGGTGCAAAAGACTCAAGAGTGGAAGGCGGCAGAGAACATGACCTCAGTGGCGAGTGACGAAGAGCGCTAACACGGTGGCGAGGTGTGGGCAAAGGCGCGTGTCTTCTCGTAACCTCATGGCCAGTGAGGGAGTAAGCCTGGCTTCCGCGGAAACAAATGAGCCTTTTCCGGTTCGTCTCTTGATCCTCATTTCAAACAAGCTCGTTTCTGATAAATTCGCTTTGATGGTATCGTACTGAGTTCCCTACGAGTACATGGTAGAAGTGCACATACGAATATTGCACAACAACAGCGGTCGTAACATTATAAGGGCCCTAAGGCCTACAAGAGGCACTCTTCATCTCACGTGATCAACAATGGCGTCCCCCCATCCTTTCATCGTGCGGCACGCGCTGGTGACCGAGATGCCGTAGGACGACCTATCAACGGATGAGCATGATGGCATCATGAGACTACAATAAACCTGGTCACCTCGTATCATCCCATTTTGTTCTATCCACCCTACCGTATCGAACATTGTGAGTAGTTGATGAGGCAATATACAGACAGACCTACGTCTCGGACGATGCTTGAAATGGAAAGTAGCAAATGGCCGGTCACCCCATTCAGGGAGAAAGTCAAAGGCAGCGCTTTGCCGCGGATCTAGTCGCGGTCTACGCACGATTTGACCCATCCTAGACCACCATGCATGTCAATACAAATATATAGTGAAGGGAAGATTCTTACCGCACTGAGCCAACAACATCACTCTGCGCCTGGAATCCTGGTTCATCGAGTCTAATACGCTCGTGCTGGATGACTTCAACAAAAGTCAACTCGACTGTGATCGTTCCTCCGGGTGGATGATCAGGGTCATCTTCTTTGTCATTATCGGAATATCAGTCCCGCATAATTTAACATAATACAGAAGTGCTTACCGTCGTATCCTGATGATCGAAAGCGGAACGGCCGTACTTCATCTTTACTCAGCCGATTTCCAGTAATATACGCCTCTTTCATTCCTTTATCTGTAATTCGCACATCGAGCACCTCGCCATCTGCGAGCAACTCGATGCGCACCGCCTTGTCGGCCTTCTTGAAGTGCACGGCGAGGGAGAACTCCTATCATGAAAGCAGCGAGTAGACACGTGACCGTAAATACCAGTCGTGTGACGTGATAGGGAGGGTGTTTGACTCACAGAAGCTGGCGCGCCAAGTACGTGACATGTCACTGTTCCGCGTTGGAGATCCCACTCGATCGAATGCTCCTCCAAGACATTGCCGTTAGACCAGAGCTGCGCGAGGTAGTCGCCGATTTGAGGCATACGCGATTGTTATCAGTTTATCAGAGATTTAGGTGTCAGATTAAGGTTGTTCGGTTGCGATATTGATCGGCAGATGGCTGAGATACACTACCCAATACGGTATAAGGGAGACAGATGGTATACGTTGCAAGTTGTGTGTGTCTGGGTATGTTGAGTGTGTAAGCGCGCGTGGCGATTGTTTACGGCATAAGCATAAGAGAAAAGAAGGCTGCGGTGCCTCTGTCAAACAAGGGCAAAGCGGAAGCTTTTGTCAATTTCTGGCGACCCTTTTCTGACGCGACGACCGCTCTGTCTCCCCACTTGCCATGGAAATTTCTGTGCACCATTCTGTGACTGCTTTCCATTATTAACCGCAAACAATATACGAATCGTACAGTAATTACTTGAGAGGAAGATTTTACCAGACAACACGAGAATGCTTCCTCCGTTTGTTTTTGGCGCATATACGAAGGTCGTTTGACACGTAGCTCAGTGGATCCGCTCAGCACCGCTTCGAAGACCAAGACGATATGCAAGAATAGCTCGTACTTCTAGTCGGCAACCCAGAACGAGCCTTTGGGGGGTGATTCCCCAAGTACAGAGTTCTAGAGAGTGTTGTCAACCTTCGGCTAGAAGGTGTCCGTATCCTCGCAATTTACCTCGTCGGTTTCGTTGATCTTCGAGGCGACACCAAGCTCTACGTGATTGATACCATTTCTGCGACCCGCGTTTCTGGGTAGAGGCTCATCGAGCTCAGTCGTAGTGTGAGACATGATTCGCACGCCGCTGAGCATGTTGCTTGCCAACTGGAAACTCACAATCAGTTAATGAAGGGTCAGAATGTTCAGAGCGCACGTTGTCACCGAGGTTTCTGGGTCCTATGTTCACTGGGGACATGTGGAATGCAGGAGCACCTACTCCAGACGACTCCAGCTTCTTGGTCAGCTCATGGCGGGCTGTGGTCACCTGAGTACGACTACACACTGGAGCGACTTCAGCTTACCATTGATGCTGCAGAACGAGCGAACACTCGTGAGCTACAAACACTTCGACAAAAGATCAGAGACTTACTTGACCCTAGAGGTAGAGTCAGAAACAGGCAGACGCATATATGCGTGGTTGTACTCACATTAGCGAAATGAAGTACATCCGAACAGCAACAAAATTGATGGCATTCGGCCATCCGCTGCTCCAGCATAAGATCACGAAGCGGATATGAGAAACGGGACTTACTTGCGGGTGGTGGTGAACAAGATGGCCACAATGATAGACAAGATCGCCGTTAACCTGATGCGTGCGTCACAAGTGTTACATGATGTTCATCCGTGGGGCTTACAAGTTGCTTTCTAGAGTAATGACGATAAGTTTCTCGACAATTCCCTTCGTCCCTCCCCAAGCAGCCTTGCCCTCCCGGCGGAGATAGGTCACCACACTCGCAGCGATGATGATATCCGCCCCAGCGGCACAATACATCCAGACATCAACACCCCACGTGAAAACGCCAAAGCTGCTCTGTAGTACGAGCTGGAATGCGCGGATCGTGCTTGCCAAGGAGAACGCGAACTGCAGGAGGGAGAGGACGAGGATGATTATGGGCAGGAAGAGCGATCTGTGGGAGAGGATATAGATCCTGTGCGCGAAGAAGACCTGTACGAGGAAAGATAGGAGGCCTGTGAGCGTGAGGTTGACGTTGTACGAGAAGTCGACGTAGTTGAGCGACGCCGTGTTGCCCCAGTTTGTCTATTGTGAGTCAGCATGCGTGAAAGGAAAGATAGAGGTTCGGACTGACCACCACCCAGTACCAGATACACTTGGGGAGCATGATCCCATGCAAGACGTTGACGAAGCAGCTGACCCCTACCATCCACTTGGTGAAAATTGGATCATCTGGGAATGTACTAGAGTCTCGGGGTGAGCATCTCACACACTCCAATCGGCTGAGCGAACGCTCAGAGAGACGCACCGGTAATAGAACCACGTCTGTGCAAGCCCCATGCCCAGGAGCATCGTGCTGATTATCATGCCGACAAAGAGACCACCGAGGTCATCGGTCAAGTCCATCTGGGTGGGAGAGGGCGCATAACCGGGGTTCGCAGCGGACATGACTGGTCTATTGGAGGGGAGGACGATCAGGGGGCGGGGGAGAGCTTCGGTGAAGAGGGATGAGGAGGGATCGAGAGAGAGGAAAGGAAAGGGAAAGCGAGCGGACTTGTAAGGTAGATACGCAGACTTATGAGCCTTGACGGGCAGGCACAGGGAATGACCGAGGAGGGAAAGGAAGGAAGGTGCAGATTTGCAAGGGGAGTGGTTCCTCTCTGTGGTCGAAGGTGAGTGGCCCGTCCAATAAGAGGGAAGAAAGGATCACTTCTCTCACACTGGAATTTCATAGACCACTTGAATGTCTCATCAGTCATAAACCATTCCCCATCGGTGGGACATTCGTTATGACTTGCATATCTCATAGCGTCATAACAATCGACCAAGGCAGGCGCGTAACCAACCTTGCACACACCCGCGATTTTCATCACACTCGGTGACCAGGGCAGGCCGTGATCTCGCCCGATCGAAGCGATCCACAATTTTTGAGATTCTCGGAAGTGCTGAAATTATTTATGGCGGAAGAGGGGAACACGGGAGGACGGAGGCGGAGCTCGGTCGCGGCCGGTGATGAACCGAGCAGGAGGAAGATGCCGTAGAGTGGGCCCATGGCCAGCCAATCCGCGAGCCCGGACAGCAATAGATCGAGAACCTCAAATCTGCACAGCACATCAAGCAAATTCGAACCCCGTATTTTGATCTCCCACTCTGCTAGTCCCCGATACGGCGAGACTGCGAGAGATTGAAGAGATGTAGAACAAGATAGATAGATGCGGTATGAACTTTGCGTGCGCTGCCTTGTGCGGGGATTAAGGGGAGTCCGGAGTTGCTGCAGGCGCATGACCGTTCGCTCCTTGTGAGCTGACGATAACAGGTATTGGAGCACTGACAGGCCGTTACGTACCAGTACTTTTTTGGGGCGCTGTGCGGAAGTGGCATATAGTAGCGTGGAACACTAGTACTAACCTATTCGCTTGGCCATAAGCCATGGACATCCGCAAGATGTCTCGGAGATTCCCATCATTAAGATGGGAATCTCCGAGACCAGAAGATTCTATCGTTCCACGCCAAGCTCAAGGAGCCCTTGAAACGACTCCCCAGTTAGCATCGCAACCCGCACCCGCAGCTGCCTTCACAATTTCCGCCAGAGCACGCTGTGCGAACTGGCTGGAAAACACGAAGCACACGAAGCGGGGGAAGGAGACGTGACCGTGACGCGCCCTCTCGAGGATTCTTATGGCACGCGCTGTCTGCGGGTCTGGCCGGAAGCGGAGAAGTGTGAGCGCTCAGGGCAAGATTTATCACGTGCAGGTCGAAAAGGCCTGAGAAATGCGCCGAATGCACTGCAGACTCCGTTCAAGCACCGATTGGACCGCTTTGTGCCCGAGTTTGGATTCTTCTCGAGTTGTGGTGGAGGCTGCTTTGCTCGGAGGGAAGGACTGGAGCTCTGGATTGACTTCTATGCTGACTGGAACGACGGCTCAGAATGTTGGAGCAGACAGGACCACTGATGGTTGATACGGCATAGATGCGACAGCAGTCTCCATGCCCCCCCTCTTCTCTCTGGTGAAAAAGTGACGTTAATGCACCGTCAGGGTGTTGTTATTTCGACAGTTGCCATTCATGGAAAGCGGCAACAACTCGCCTCCCGCCGCTGTTAGGAATAAACTTGCCCCGAGGGGATGCCGTGCGTGTCTATCTGGGTCACCTTGGGCTGGTCACTGGACGAGATGAATTGGGCGAGACCTGTCTTACATGGGTTCAGTGATCGCCCACTATACCTGATATGGCACATTCCACCCCTCCTTGTCTCGATCCCCGCCGCTGGCACAGAGAGAGACCCGATCACTCTTACTGCTTCTCACTATATATGCTCACCTGCCGCTGCCCCTCTCCTCCGCTCAAGAGTCGCCTTCCTCCTCCCTTCCACCACCTCCCCCGCCTTACATACGCCCCCCCACCGCGCACCCCTTGTTCGCTTCCCACCACCAGCCAATATCCAGTATCGCAATTACCCTCAACCACTCCCAACCGTCCCTCCTTCCTTCTCCTACCCACTCCCGCTTAACCATAGCATATACCCAAGTCAAGCACAATGCTCCTCACTTCTACCTTCCTCCTCCTTGCCATCTTCATCATATCCGCAGTTATCATCCTCCCCCGCATCCTCCCAAAGCACTCCCTCCCTCTCCCTCCAGGTCCACCAAAGCTTCCCCTCATAGGAAACGTACACCAGATACCCACAAAGGACGAACACATCACTTTCCTCCAGTGGTCAAAGCAGTATGCATCGGACGTCGTCTGCGCAACCGTCTTTGGACAGCCTCTTGTCGTCCTCAACTCAAAAGAAGCTGTCATGGATCTCATGGAACGTCGTGCGCCTATCTATGCTGCAAGGCCAAGAATGGTCATGTGCGGAGAACTGTGCGTCATAACCTCATAACTCGTCACAGTACTCATCTTTTTCTAGGGTCGGCATCGGTGGCTCCGTCGCCCTCACGGCGGATATGAACAGGCACAGGCACTTCCGCCGGCTTTTAACCGCCGCTCTTAACCCACGTGCTTCCCAGGACTACTGGCCGTCCCAGATGAAGGAATCGCGCGAGATGATGGTGCGTCTCTTGGATGATCCGACCATGCTCGAAGACCATATCAAGCGAACTGTCGTCGCTGTTATCTTCCTCGTCTGCCATGGATACCAGATCCGCAGCAACGATGACTACTATATTTGGCTTGGGAACAAGGTCATGCAGAACTTTGCAAAGGGTCAGTGTTTCTATCAGATGTGTCCGTCCTATCTGACTGAGGGTTCGCAGCCGCTGCACCGGGTGCATGGCTTGTCGACTTCCTTCCCTTCCGTAAGGGCCCACTCTGTGTTATCTGAAGTATACTGAATCATTACAGTTCGTTTCATCCCCGCTTGGGTACCTGGTGCTGGGTTCCAGAAGATTGCTGCCGAGTGGCGCCAAGAATGGTTCGATCTCCTCGAGAAGCCAATCAACATGGTCAAGGCGAACATGGCGGCCGGCACTGCCAAGCCCAGCTTCTCCAGCCGTCTCTTGGAGGCGAATGCTGCTGGTGCTCGCGATAAGAAGGAAGACGATCTCATCATGTGGGCATCGGGCTCCCTCTACTCTGCCGGTGCCGATACTAGCGTCAGCGCTATACACTCGTTCTACCTCGAGATGCTGCTCCACCCCGAGATCCAGGCAAAGGCGCAGGCTGAGCTTGATCGCGTGGTTGGCAAGGACCGTATGCCGACATTCGACGACATGGCCCTTTTGCCTTATTGCGGTGCCATTGTCAAGGAAGTCTTTCGTCGCCGGCCTGTGGCTCCTCTTGCTATTCCGCACACAAGCCGCGAAGACGACACATACAAGGGATTCACGATTCCCAAGGGAAGCATGGTCATGGGAAACATCTACGCTCTCAACATGGATCCTACGGTGTTTGGGAAGCCCGAAGAGTTCAACCCCGAGCGCTACCTCGCCCCAACCGGAGAACCACAGAATCCCGCCGGCATCAACCGCGATATCGGTAGCTGGTGCTTCGGGTTTGGCCGCCGTCTGTGCCCCGGAGAGAACATCGCCGAGGCAAGTCTGTACATGGCCGTTGTGAACACGCTTTGGGGCTTCAACATCAAGTACTCGCTCGATGCTGACGGCAAGCCGATCCTGCCCGATATGAACTACGAGCAGGGTGTAGTCAGCCATCCAAAGGACTTCAAGTGCGACATCGGCGCTCGCACCCCCGCACACGAGGAGGTCATGCGCACCGCCGCGGCTGAGTACGCCGGCATGTAAACCATCAGCTTTCGATGTTGGATCCCATCTGTATATCGCCAGTCACGACCCTACACCCTACTCTCTGTTCTGTTCTTGTGCTATGTTATCTGCCCATGCGGGCAGTCTTGGGAGAAATCGAAAGAAAGACACCACGGGCGTCCCTTTCTTGACACAAACCGACGACAGAAAAAGGTAATTCTATCACAATGCTTTCCAAATTTTGCTTTTCATTCTTTTTTTTCCCTGGCTTGCAAAAAGATCAATTAAATCCCTTCATTCGTTTTGAGCTTTGTCTCGATAGTGAACTAGCTTAGGCGTCTCCTTCTCGTACCTAATTGGAATTCCTTTCCTCTTGTGCTTGTCTTACGATGGAGCATGTGCTTTGTGCAATGTCCATGTGGAACACGGAACAATCGATGTATCTCCGACTATTGTGGAGTGCAAGGTGCTTTTCTTTCAACATCCACCTCATTTCGTTCAGCGAAAGAGTGCCCAACACTCCGCTACTCAGTTGTTCCATTTCCGAAACGGAAAACAACGATGTGGCTCCCCCTATTCCTCGACCCCCTCCCCCAACTGCTCTACTGCATCAAACTCGGCCTCCCTCCAGTCCTCCGGGCTCTCTATTCCAACCCATGGCTCATCTTCTATCCCTCTAAACTACAGAAGATCTTCATGGCCGGCTTCTGGGTCGTTTTCGGCCCAGGGCTAGACGAAGGTGCTGCCCCAGCAAAGCAGAGGCTCATTACCCCTTTTGCCAAGGGGGTGGTGCTCGAGATCGGGGCCGGACATGGGCATTCCTTGCGTTATTTCGACCGGGAGAAAGTGGAGAAATATTTCGCTCTGGAACCGAATGAAGAGATGTACCCCGCATTAAGGAAGAGTATTGCCGACGCCGGGCTTTCGGAAGAAGATGGAACGGCAATCATCCTCCCTTTTGGAGCACACGAAGTGGACAAGATCCTCGCTGCCGTTGGGGAAAATCAGGTCGATACGCTCGTCTCATTCCTCACGCTCTGTTCCGTCCCCAACTCCAAGGAAGTCATCCCCAAGCTGTGCTTGGCCGTGCTCAAACGACCTGGAGGCACATTTCTCATGTACGAACATGGTCTTTCCCCCGTTTGGTCATCAAGGATTTATCAACGATTTTGGAGTCCTATCTGGTCCTTGACCTGGAACGGCTGTAGGTTAGACAGAAATACTGTCAAGTGGGTCGAACAAGTGCCTTGGGCGGAGAAAGAGGTCGGGAAGGAGGACATGCCGGATTGGCACTTGTGGTACCGTACCATGGGTCGATATGTACTTTGAGGGACAGCCCTTTCCATTGTCAACAGTCGATAACTCATTTGATTTCTCTCCACCCTGGGTAATATGGATATAAGAAATAGTTACGCAAAGGATAGCTTGATGTTCTCGTCTGGGTCCGTCGGCCGACCCTTGATAACATCGGCGGTCTTTGCAGTCAGATCCATCACAATATTAAACAAGGTTGCGCTCTCGCTCTTTCCCTCGCAAGCACGGTTGATGGAACCAGGGTATCCGTCCTCGTCCGTGAACACAGTCTTGATGTCCTCCTCGTCGGGGAAGGCGCCGAGCTTATCCGAAAGTTGCCGAATGCGAACAACGCGCTCCTTGCTGTCGCCCAGAGCCATCCCATCGTCTGTCACCCAGCTGGGCGTCTGCAGAAGATGGTTCGAGTGGAATACACGGCTCTTGCCGTCCATCGGAAGCTTGACCACAGTCTTGTGCGTCAGCTCCAGGCCCATCGAGCCGTTGGGGTCTGCGATCAACATATGAGCAGCAGCTGCGCAACCGTACTGCTCTACAGCTGTCACGGCAGCATCGAGTGACGTGGATTCGAGAATGAGTCGCAGACAGAGGTGGACTGGAGTTCGCGAGAAGTCACATCCCTGAATACGGATTGCATTCAGGCAGACACCAACACCGGCGCTGTTCAGCCCGATCTTGCCAATGATGCCGGCTTCCGTGACCATGCTGATGTTGGGCTTGCCAATCTGGGCAATGTTGGCGATGATCAGATTCTCTTTTTGTGCAGGCATCCACTGCAGCATGGTCAGATGAAGGTCAAGAGGAGCCGCAGGTCTCCACGCACATCCCAGTTCTGACCAAGGAAGCTCTTCTCTTCTGTCTTCCAGGACAAGGCCGTACAGCCGTCACTGAACATACCGAAGGCAATCTCCGTTCGGATGTTCAGTGCCAGGATATCTGAGTACTCCACGCCAGCACCCTCAGCGAGACCTGGGACCTACTAGTTAGTGCCGAGTTGGAGACGAACACCAGTAACAACGCACCCTTCATCTCCTTTGCGAGTGCTGGGTAGTGCGCATCTAAATGAGGCACCCACTTGAGGGCGGTCTGCCTCACTTGTGACCAGTCCATCTTCGACTTCTTCTGGAAGAGGCCCGTGTAGAAGGTAATGGACCGCGCAACGAGAGGGGCCGCCTGCCGACCATGCTCAAACCCGATCTAGTGGCAATGGTCACTAATGTCGAAGAGTAATATTGGAGGAACACACCTCGTGCGGCGAACCAGAGGCATTAATGGTTAGCATGATGATTGTTGAAGGCAGAGGTCGAAGCCAGCTACATGATAAGACACTGCTTATGGTATGCAGAGGAGCGAGTGACCGAGTGCGCCGAAGCGCTCAAAAATGACGGCGGCTTCGGACCGGGTGAATCGCAATGCCGAATGCCGATGCCGCGATCCGCTTCCGAACTTGATCATCACACAAGCGCCCGTGAGGGGTCCCTAACCAAATTCTTGTTCACGATAGTATTGAATCAAACCTATCAATAGACATAATCAATCCCGATAATGCCATGGACACCTCATCGTCTTTTTCCATCTCTGGCTCCCACGCTTCAAGTCGCTTTCGCAAAGGCTTCAGAATTTGAGCTTGGAACTCTGGCATGGCGTCACGAATGGCAGTCTAGGCACGGATTAGCATGTCACGGTCCCAGTCTGTTACACCACGAACCCTATTGGCCTTGTCAATGCTCAGAAGGGCATAAAGGAAGCTCATGCTTTCAGTCAATCTAGCCGGCTCATAGGAGTCAATAAACTCGGATAGCTGGAGATTGTGCTCGAAGAGGTCGTTCGGTTGTGGGCGCAGCAAGATAGGACCCAGCGTTTGCATCAAAACGGGGGTACTGAAGGGCGATGCATTCTGTAGACATTAATAACATACCATGACGTATGCATATTTCCTACCTTCTCCTTCAATGCAGGGAGAACATTGTCCTTGATCAGTCCAACAGCAGCCACACGCATCTGGGGGAAGGGACATGCCGCGCTCGTGAAATCTTTCAATACGGATAATCGGGCCAGGTCATTTATAAGGTTGAGCATTGTGTTAAGAAGTCGGAAAGCGATGAAGCGTGTGGCAGGATCAGGTGATATGGCCGCAATCGGCATGATTGCCTAAAACTGTAAGTTGCAATCTTGTTCCATGGATGCGTTCCTGCACACCTGAATGATGGGTACGACATCATCTTGATCTATATTTACATTCTTCTCCTTGACTAGGACGGCGAGACCCCATAACCAAGCCAAAATGACCCCAATACCATGGTTTTCACGCATGGCGCGCAGGGCAACTGGCTTGGATTTGATGAAGGCCAGACGAACATCAAGATCATTGAGTTTATCCTCAAAGCAATGCACAAGAACTGCAATCGCGCCTAGAGCGGCATCCATAGATCGTTTCTTTTCGGGTGAGCATTGATAGACCGCTTCTGCCGCGGACTGAAAATCGGCATCTAACAATACCTTCGCGCCGTTGAGCGATTGGTTCTATAGCACGATTGTCCTACATACGACTACTTCATCGAATACTTTCTGTCCTTCTTTCCAGTCACCCTTGACGAGGGACCGCCCTGGTATTGTGTACCTTGGCTGAAGACGCTCGAAATACCGTTCGGCGATGCTGCTTGGAATGGTATCCAGCTGAGCAACAAGAAACCCAAACATTCAGAAAGTTTAGATGAAAGTCAAGCAGCAATGTAGGATATAGATTCTCCACAGTGTAGTAACGTGGCAGGCCACTGCTGGTGGTAATGAGTGGAGTGAAGAAGATCGAAGGATAAAGGACGGATGGACTGGAGGATAAAGCGAGTCACAGTGCTCTTTGCGAGTTTTGTTCCCGTTACGAGCGCTTCCTGGCAAGGGACTGCTGCACCTCTTTCCTGTTTATCGGGGATACCAATGATGCCTTATGGAGCTCTTGGAAAAGAATGAAGGCACACGGACGCCAGCTCGTTGACCCTTTGTACAGACATACATGTTTTCATCACAGAAATTCATGACATTCCGTTTCGCGTATGAGCTATTCGTAACTGTAATACAAAGTCCTATCATTATCAAACAGTCCTAGACACGATTTGCCTTCTCGTCGGAAATAGGAATGTCGATGGGCTTAAGGCTCGCTTTGCAAGGATTGTCCGACTCGAAGATCTCGTCGAGCTCTTCAAGAGTGCGACCTTTGGTCTCAACAAAGAAGAAGTAGACTGTTTTACGAATCAGAAAAAAATATTAGTACAGAAGGATTTACTACGTACCGATAATCCATTCAAAGCAGTCCCAGAAGACAAAGAATACATAGAACCAATACCCAATCTGGCCCCCTCATCAGTCAACTGGAAAGAAGATGCCAAGAGAACGTACGTTGTTGAGCGCTACTGGAGCGGCGAAAGTGTTGACAAAGCTGGCCACGCCAGCAGTTAGCTGGAAAATACCCATGCCCTTTGCACGCATGTCGTTGGACAAGACTTCCCCAGGGTAAATTGGTTGCATGGAAGTAAATGCCAAGGCAAATACGGCTCCAAATATGAAAATGAAGGCAATCGAGGCGTCTGATGACTGCTGGCTGCCTGTATGAACATAACCAGCCGCAGTGCCAGCAGTGATTGCAAGGCAAACGATCATGCCGGCAATGCTACCAAGGAACATTGTGCGACGCCCAAACACATCGTGGAAACGGGTTCTGGAGGGGGGATTAGTCGGGCCATATCCTTTGAAAAATACAAGCTTTACTAACCCAGCGGCAGCAAACACCCATCCAATTATGGCGTAAATAATATTGAGAAGAAGCTGAGTGTTGACGTCGGTGATACCAACATTATCGAGCAGGTGCGGAAGGTAGTAAGAAATGATGCTGCAGACGTGGTCAGCCAGATTTCTCAGAGATGATCAAAACCTACTTGTTCCCAGAAAATTGCCCGAACCAGCTGAAGGCAATATCGAGGAGGAGACGGTAGCGTCTGCCCTTTGTCTTTACCAGCACTCTTAGGTCGAAGAAGTTTCGCCAGCTCGTCATCGGATTGTGCTTAAGCGATTCGGTCATCTCATCCATTTCCAGGGCCACAAGGGGATGATTTTCGTCACCATTGGCATGGTATTTTACCAAGATCTGTCGTGCCTCTTCTGAACGGCCAGCTCCAATCAACCTATCCAAAATAAGTCATCCCTCATTCTTGCCGCAAGGGAAACGCACCATCGAGGGGACTCGGGACAAAGCCAAATAAATATCGCTACAATGGCGGGGCAGAGCATTTGAAGCCAGAGGGGTAGACGCCAATCTAATTCGCCATCCCACGAGAGATGGAGATGAGCACCGTAGACGGCGGACGTCGCAATGATCGATCCCTATATATAGTTTTGGCCTCTACAACACGTTCTGGGAAAAAAAAGGTTCCGCACCATATACCATAATGTGTTATATAGTCCTGCAATGACTCCACGATATAATGGGGGCGCCATCTCGATCATGTATAAAGGTGCTGAAGTTGTGGCCCATGTAGCGAAGAAAGAGAGCAGGAAGCGACCACCAACGAAAACGCCCAGTGTTTTCGCAGTAGATGTGACGATTGTGCCGATTAAGACGCCAATACAGCCCAAAAAGATTGGAAGGCGCCGGCCACGCCAATCGGCCAACCAAATGAACAAAGCACCGACCATTTGCCCGACCTTCACACTAGATCAGTTGATGCTGACCGGGAAGCATGCTCGTAGAAGACGCACGAAGAAGATAGCAAAGACAATGCCGGTTGAGGAGTTTCCAGAGGATGGCAAACCATAGTAGTTCGTGTAATTGGGCAGAGCATTAATCGATCCCATGAGGGAACCATCAAACCCTGGACAACCAGCTGTGTGAGTATAGTGCGCAAAGATTAACATCGACACGCACCGTTCATTGTAGAACAGAGATACACTAGAGAGCAGAAGAGATACATTCGCAGATAGCCTTTTCCGAACGGATCTGGCCGTCCATACTGGTACGCGGCGGCGAGACGTGAAGTAAGCTCGCCTTCCTTTGGAGGGTCGACAGGCTCAAGCTGATCGGAACTCTCCTCATGTTCCGGTGATAGTGGCTTTTCGTGAACAGAGGCAGACATTTAGGAAGAAAGGGAATTTGTGGGGACAAGTGATGATGGAAGCGAGAGGGACAAGCCCCCTGGTGAGCTTCTTATATACAGGAGGTCGCACACACAGACGATCCCATAAAGTGGAAGATCTGCAGATTCCAAGCGAACACTTACGAGGCTGGACAGCGCGCCATCTGAAGAAAATCGGTCTCGGTCGGAGAAAATGAGAACACTGCATGGAGAAGAAGATGGTTTCAGAATAGCGAGTTGATTGTCGAAAATGAACACGTGCAAAACAAAGCGATTCACCGCAGGTGTGGTATCCAATGGGGTGGCTAGCCGACAATACTTGGGCGATTAAAGACAAAAAACAGCAAAGATGGAGTTGACCGTTGGTGAAAGAAGATACACAATTGCTGTGCGGGGTGACGGGGAGGGAAATTAAGAGGTGCGGAGCCCCGGACCGATCGGACGCGGGCATCTTGTTACCACTTCCTCGCGGAACCACCCGGGCGGACCTCCTTTGCCCTCGGGGCTGGGTATGGGAAAAGCTACCTTAAGAAGTTTGCTGCTTTATCACCGAGCATTATGACTAGCATCCCGAATGAATCGAGTTCTCGTGGTTCTAGATATAAATACAGTCACAATCCAAATTTCCATATCCACATATCGCTCGCGATCTAGATCATAAAGTCATGCTCCCCAAATAACAGACTAATGCTCTCCCCGTTGTGCAATCTCCTAATCGACTCTGCAACGGTAGCGGCAACGTCCAGAACAACCAACTTGCCGTTTGGTAACTTGTGGTTTGCCTGATCCACTGTGTTGGTAACGACTAGGCGCTCAAGCGGCAGCTGCCCGAGCTCATGCAGGTTAGCGTCGGCAAGCAGTGCTGTGCAACATCCGTCAGGCACACATCACCTTTCCCAGAAGAGAGGCTGACCATGGAATACAAGGGCATAAACTGCCTTGGCACCGTTTTCTACGAGTTCATGGGTAGCCAAGGTAAGAGTGTGCCCTGAGTCGATCATATCATCCACAAGAATAGCGACCTGAGCACATGGGTAAGAGGTTGATACATTACGAAGGCAGTCACCTTACCTTTCCCCGTACGTCTCCTACCAGAATCTCCATTTTCTCTGGTTGAATGAGCCCTGCATTGTCCCGTTTCCGGTTGATCATGGCGATCTCGAGCTGCAGCTTGTCCGCAACCTGTGCCGCCCTGAAAAGACCGTCAGCGCGATTCGGGAGCGAATACGATCCAGCTTCACCTCTTTGCTCCGCCTGGATCGGGAGACACAACAATTGCGTGTTGCCAGCCCTCTATTTGGTGTTTTATGTATCGGAGGAAAATCGGTTCCGTATAGAGGTTGTCCACGGGGATGTCGAAAAATCCCTGGATCTGGCTGGCGTGCAAATCCATCGTGATAATGTGATCTGCACCTGCGACAGTTAACATGTTGGCGACGAGCTTCGCAGTGATGGGGAGACGACTCTTGTCTTTCTTGTCTTGTCGCTGATAGGGGAAGCAAGGGATCACAGCGGTGATGCGGCTTGCCGATGCGATCTTGCAGGCGTGTATGAGGATGAGGAGTTCCATAAAGTGGTCGTTGACATTCGGAGAGCTTGACTGGATGATGAAGACGTCCTCGTCTCGCACCGAAGATCCGATCTTCACATTTGTCTCGCCATTGGAGAACTTCTTGACGGTGGTCGGGACGAGCTGAACCCCGAGCCTTATCCCAGTTCAGCAAATATTTGCGCCAGACAACCAGTGTGCACACCTTTCCGCAACATCCTCCGCGAGTTTTGTGTGACTGTTACCTGCACTGTATTCAGCAAGTCGCCGGCTGGGTGAGAGACGCGGACGCACCAGTGATGAGTTTTATCGAGTTACCATGGTTCGACATCTCGTGGGGGCGTTGTCTGCGTCACCCCTCGTTGCAATGAACGATATATATACTGGATGAGTGTGAACCGGATATGCGGGTGATGTGTCCTGGAATACGGCGTGTCGGGTACGTTGCAAGACTTTCAAGACGTGATTCATTGCGATCGGGGGCCAGTTCGCTTTTTCGCCACGAGAAGCAGCACTGCCACTGAGGGTTTATGAAAAGCGAACCCTAAGTCGCGTGTCCCGGTTCTCGCTCACTCACGCGCTTCTCTCTCAGCCGTCCATCTGGTCATGCCGTCGTTATATTTTACAGGAGCCGTACTATGGACGGTCCTCCCTGCTTTTCAGGTAAGGATACCTGGCTGGTGGTCATGAATGCATCCAACGTCAATGAACTAGTTTGGATACCACACGTCGGCGCTCAACCAGCTGCAGGCGACCATGTCTTGCGAGAACACGAGTCCCTCAGATGGACCACTGCTCCTGCCGTCCTGTATACCCATGAGCGACGCAACGTTTGGCGTGCTGACCTCGGCGTTGACTGTCGGGGGTCTTATCGGCTCTCTGATCGGGGCAGGCCTGTCTGATCGCCTGGGGCGCAAGGGAGCCTCGGTCGTGAGCACGTCGATGTTCTTGGTGGGCGCACTGGCCATGGCGGGTGCGTGGACGTATCCCATCCTACTGCTGGGAAGGTTAGTAGTGAAGCACATACTAAGATTAGGTCTGATCGGTCCCCAGACTGGTGATCGGTATCGCGAGTGGAAGTGGACTGGTTGTTGTCCCGATCATGTTGTCTGAGATGGCTGCGCCAAACGTTAAAGGGGCGATGGGTGAGCGGGCTACTACATGCCAATGTACACAATCTGACGACAACCAGGAACGCTGAATCAACTCTCAATTGTTGCTGGTATCCTGCTGACGCAGTGCGTCGGTCTCGTGTTAGCGAGAGAGAGCCTTTGGCGCTATGTGCTGGTCATTGCCGCTGGATTCGGCGCTGTGCAGCTGCTCACGAGTTCGCTTATTTATGATACCCCTGTGTGGCTCGAGGATCAGGGAAGGGAACAAGACGCGAAGCGCGCGGCTCAGCTTCTGTGGGGTGAAGCTGATCTTGCTATTGGTGATGAAGGTGCGTTGCATGTTACCTATATGCGCGTGTATTGACGCTGGTCAGTGCCAGAAGAAGCCGAGCGACAACCACTGTTTGACGGGGAGAACAGTGCAGCAGACGATGTTCCAGCGACGCCCGTGCCGAGACCGCCAGCGACGTTCAAGGAAGTGTTTACGTCACCTGCACTGCGTCGACCGCTCATGGTAACGCTTCTGGTGTTCTTCGCACAGCAAGGCTCTGGAATCAATGCGGTGATGTATTACAGCACGAGTATCCTTGGGCGGGTTGTGCCGGATCTTGCGGGTTATATTTCGATCCTGATTGGTGAGCGCGATGAAGGATGAATGGGCAGGGCTAATATGTAGCAGCTGTGATCAACGCTGTGATGACGTTTCCGCCTGTTTTCCTGATCGACCGAGTGGGGAAGCGGACAATCCTGCAAGCGTCTATTGTCAGCACGCTGATCTTTGGTGTGCTGGTCGCTGTGGGCCTGAACGCGGGGCAGCCCGTGGTAACCGCCGTGGGGATTGTCGGGTTTGTGGCGGCTTTCGCTGCTGGGCTTGGGCCTGTACCGTATGTGATCACGGCGCAGACGTCGCCCTACTTTGCGGTGTCGACGTTGTCTTCTATCGGGCTGTCAGTGTCGTGGTGTCTTAATTTCCTGGTTGCGATCGGGTTCCTGCCGCTTTGTAGCATGCTGTCATTTGGACGTGGACTGGATGGGAACGTGTTTATTGTGTTTATGTGTATCCTAGGATTTTGCGGGTTGTCGCTGTCATGTATGTAGGATATGTATGAATGATCAGAGTGATGTGGGATTATTCTGGTGTGTGTGCCTTAGCCGAGTGACGCGTTGCCGAGTGTTGGCCGACAATGCGGAATGAAAGCGCCGGTGCCTTTTTCTGTCCTCAGTGTGCAAGGAGTTGCTTCTATGGCACCAGGGGGAGAGTTCATTCCCCGTGCCTGATGTACTGTACAGTTCCCCTTCAATAGTGAACCTACCCTGAGTTGAAGGGAGAAAGTGTGCTGTGAATATAAAAGGGAGTGAGGGAAAGAGTGGGATGGAACCTTGGGCTGTGCACGTCATGCATGGAATGACGTCACCAGGGGTTGCAGGGCCTGGGTGTGGGCGATCGAAAGGACGGAGGGGAGAAGGGGGAGCGCGGGATCAAATTAGTGATGAGAGAGGAAAGAGAGTGAGAGAGAGATGTGTGTGTCCCATCAATCGGTGTCGGTCATTATTCTCTCTCTCTCTCTTTCTGCTCTGCGCATATACGCTCACATGACCAAGTACTGAGCATTTCCACTCCCTCTCTCACAACACCCTTTTACAATGAGTGAGGACGAGGCACAGTCAGGTAAGCATTGATACATAATCCCACATTCCCTTATTCACCCAGACTTCATCTCCAGCCTCGTCCTCCCTGATACAACAACACCAACCAATGACATCAATTCATCGCAGGCCTCCTCCTCCCCCTCCACCACGTCGACAACGCAGGAATTCTCTCACTGACTCGTCACAGTCAGATAAACCGCACCGTCCAAAGTTAGGACCTGCTCCACCACCACCAGAAACACGACAGAGGAATGTACTCACTCAGTCAATATCCACAACACCCATCTCTCCTATCATCAATCATCCTTCTCTCCCTACAAGTCCCCTCTCTCCACCTGCTTCACTCTCACCAGAGTTAGAACTAGGCCTACCTCCCATCCCTCCAATGTCGGATCCTCGTTCACCTTCACCAGAACAATTCCCACTCTCGCTCTCTCCTTCCTCTCGCCCTCCACCACTCCCTCCACCACCCGCTGACCCTCCTCCCCACCGTCAATCACAACGCCGCACTCCTTCCCCAATCGTAATCCCACCTCCTCGTTCTGCAAATCCAGCCAGCGAAGCCGCTTCCCTCCAGGGCATACCATACCCTAGTGAGGACATGTTCCTCGACTCGGAGAACCTTAGCACACTCGAGAAGATATTCCTCTTTGCCAATAGTGACGCTGCGTATCATCGCTTGTTCGTCGCGCGGACACTTCCGGAATGGCTTCCTACGGTAGACCCACATGAGGCGGTCGAGTATATCCTCCCTTTACTCAATGGCCTGGGAACAGACTCGGGTGAGTGGGAAGACGTCACAACCCCCGATTGACTAATATATGCTACAGAGGATACCGTAAGGGAGACATTCGCGCCCTCCCTCGCTCGTGTCATGTGGTACTTCTTCATCACTTGCACCTTGACCGAAGAAGAACAGCCACTCACTCCCTCCGCACACTCGGAAGATCACCCTTACCCCGCTGGGCCGCCTGTCATATCCGTCTCGAGTTTTACGCCCCTCTTGGGAAGCCTGCTCCTGAACGTAAATCGCAGTGTGCAGGAATTTGCTCGCTGGGGGGTCGTCCAAGTCCTCCAGAAACTAAAAGACGAGGAAGAATCCGAGACCGCCTTACCTGCCAAAGGGCCTCTCAATCGCAGAAAAGCCAAAGAGGCAGAAAAAGAAAAGGCGAAGAAATGGGAAGGCTGGTGGGGTGGCGCGGTAGGAAAGGAGAAGAGGGACATGATACGCCGGGAACTCATTCTGGGAGTCGTGTTGGGCATGGCGAGGCTGGAAGAGGACGAGGGCGAGGCAGAGGGCTATGATAGAGCTGAGCTGGACGAGCTGAGTGAAGCGACGAGGAGGGAGAGAGCGAGCGAGAGGGGAGATTGGGAGTATGAGCATGGGGAGGACGGGCAATTCGGTCTTGCCGAGGGATGGGAACATCGAACCGTGGGCCTTCCTCAGCCAGGTGGAGCAGCAGGTGAACTGCCGAATCGTCCAGAGGAACCAGAAGCGTTGCCGGAACTGCCGACAGTGAACGACAAGCCGCAGGGTGATACTGAGGAGTTGCATGACGTGCAGTTGGCTGAGAGAGGTGCGCCTGACTCGAGTTCGGGTGGGAAGTTCGAGTCCATTGGTCAGGAGAGCGGGAACGAGGAATCGGAAGACACGCGCATGACTGTGCAGGAAAGTCAAGTCCCCGACATTGCGGTCGATGTGGTCGACAAGCAGGAAACTGCGGTACCCGCGACCGAGGATCTGGAGGAAACGATGGTTTCCGATGCTCTGGCGCCCGAAGAGTCAACCATCCCGGCCATCATTCCCGAAGCCGAGGCAGCCGAGTCCACCGTGTCACCATTCAAGGTTGATACACTCCCCTCAACACCGCAACCCTCGGAAGCCGAGGACCACAAGGACGAGCTCTTGGACAAGCCTAGACCAGTGGGGTCCGCTCTGCTCCTCGCTGAAGGGACGACCACGTTTTTGCTGCACTGCATGAGTCCAAAGTGGATCAGCCTTTTTGCCCTTCCTACGGTGGACGACTTGGTGGACGAAGAGGAAGATCTGCCCATCCCGGGTGGGTTCTCCCTCAGAGTTGCTCCATCGTCCACAAGTGGATCTGGCGAAGCGTCTGGACCTTTTGAAGCGAAGCAGTCTCCTTCCCCTCTCCAACAGAGCGACGAAGACACGCCAGCCATGACGATCGATGCTTCACCCTCTGACAACAATGACTCTCCTGCTGTGGCCCCCGGTGAAACGCCAGCCAACGACAAGGATGAGGACGAGGAAAGCGGCAAGATAGACGCACATGGGATCATAGAGCTTGTTGCTCAGGCTTCCGAGCTCGGGATGGCTACCATGTCTCCTGATCAGGCCGATGCGGTTTCCCCTCTTTACAAGAGTGAGGAGGAGACGCCCGGTTCCCCAAGTCTCATACCCAGCGACTCAGAGGCTACTGTCAAGAACCGTATTTCCCCTAACCCGCCTTCCGATGATGGAGAAGACATGGACATCGTCCAGGAGGACGAAGAGGAGGAGCCCATGGATATCGATGAGGAGGAACAACAGGCACCTCCGCCAGCGACAGGCATCGTCATCTCCCCCCCACTAGAGGCGCCCATGCCTCCGGAATACTTTCCTTCTCCCCCTGTCAACTTTCCCCCTCCCCAGCCGACCATCACCCCGAACATCTCTCCCGACTGGCTCCCTGTTCCTCCCCAGGACGCGGCAGGACCAGCACCACATGAGCTGCCCGGCAAGTCCTCCCCGCTGGCACTAATCGCTGCTTTGGCACTCATGTCCGCCATTGCTTCTTCCGCTGCGCTTCCTCCTGTAGACTTGGAAAGTCATTTCCTCCCAGAGCTTCTTCGGATCGCCTCTCAGGCCGATGAGTGGGTGCGACGCGAAGCAGGGTTCGTTATCGGTGCCCTAGCGAAAGCGGTATCTCCAGACCTTGTCCGTGCGGACCTCGTCCCCCTTTTACTACAATTTTCGAGCGATCCCTTCTGGCACGTCCGGCATTCGAGCCTGTTCTCCGCTCCTCCGATTTTGTCTCGGCTTCAGCCCCAGGAACGTTACACACTCGGTTTACAGATCTTCCTCGCAGCGGCTAGCGACCCGTCTCGTGCCGTCCGGAACGCTTGCCTCGAACTGCTCGGCGAAGCCATAGCGACGTTCAAGGACGACGCCAGTGGTCCCCCAGAGGAACTAGTCCAGCTTTTCCTAGGCGATCCGAATAATCGTCCAGAAGACACTGACTCAGATCCTGAGAGTCCCCTGGAATGGCTCACTACCCCTGGCCTGGGTATTCAGCCCGTCCCTACCACGAGGCGAGACACGGACCGGTGTTTGGTCTGTGCCTTCAACTTTCCTGCTGTTGCCCTCACGCTTGGTAAAGACCGCTGGCCGCAGCTGCGGGATTATTACCTGTATCTCGCTCGTGACAAGAGCTTGAAGGTGCGGAGGACACTCGCATCCAGCTTGGGTGCTCTGGCAGAGATCATCGGTCCAGAAGCAGCACGGCAAGACCTGGTCCACGTATGGAAGCGTTCCTTCGAGGCTACGTCTCACGGGTTTGTGGACGAAGACGTCGTTGGCTGGGCTATCGAATCCATCGAGGGTCTGCTCAAGACGGTTGGTGGTGACTTTCCACGAGAGGTTGTCCAGCTCCTGCGTATCTGGTGGAGCGGGATCATGGCCAGGCGTTGGCGCTTGCGTGAACAGTTAGCGACTAAGCTTCCCAGCTTTGCTCAGAGCAGCGCGCACGTCGAAGGTGTACCAGAAGGTCTTCGGACCCTCCTCGGACTTGCGTTGACAGACGATGTGGCTGCTGTTAGAGAAAGCGCAGCCGAAGGTGTGTCTGAGATTTGTGCGGCTTTGCGAGGCGGGCCTGGTGAGGAAGCCATACGCCAAGAACTACTGCATCTATCGGAACACCCTTCGTTCCGAAATCGCATGACGTGAGTGCCTCCTTTAGTCAATAATCTCTCCCGTCTAATGGTGCCTTTAGGTTCGTTGCCTGTATCCAATCACTCCTGGCCGATGAGATGAAAGACGATCTGTATACCCTCTGGCCTCGCGTATGGGCACTTGGTACCGATCCAGTGGTCGATGTACGAATTTCAGTAGCCCGGCTCGTTGCCTCTGCTGTGGGGATGGGTATGCACCCTCCTCTAGCAGAATGGACGCATCTATTAACTATCGAGTCAGACAATTTCTTCCGAGATACAGCATCGCGGCCGCTCAATGCCTTAATCCGAAGGCTGATCCAAGACAAGTCTTATCAGGTTCGGAGCTTTGTCGCTTTCTTGCGCGGAACGCACACTGTCACTCCGGTTACAACCCCGGTTCGTGGAGCAAGCCTTATGTCCCCATCGGCCAAGTTCTCCCGTCCGCCGCTTGTTCTGTCACCCAGTGGTAGCGTGCACGACGAGCCTGTTAACTACGTGGACGACCACATCCCCGGGATGGATGACACGAAAGAATTCTCCTCTGCCATCGCCCGTGGCCGCGATGTCCCACTGCCAGTTTTCAGACTACCTTCGTCGCCCCGACACTCGCGCAAGGTAGAACCGATCTCCGTCAGCCTAGTCAGCCTAGACCTCAAGCCGGCAGAAGAGGTGGTGCAGGGAATGACAGCAGAGTCGCTGAAAGATGCACCAGAAGCCGAGAATGTGCCCGAAGAAAAGGAGCCCCAGAGCCCTGACAGTCCGTCCGAAGACGTGCCTCGGGACGAAGAGTTCGAGGAGGAAGACCTTGATGATCCATTTGCCGATTCGATGGACGACGATGAAATGGAAGAAGGACGGGGTTCATTAGATTCAGACGGAGACGCTGACATGTAGCGTGTTGACGCTCTCTCTCGATTCCCAAGCTCCATATCGGTCGGACTACTGTAGCTTTTACACATTTGATACTCACTGTTGCATCTTTATACCAACTGTTTCATTACTTATGGCACGTTTCATTGGGATACTAATTAATACAATATCTAATGCCTCCTACTAATACTAAGTGGATCGAATGTAAGCATTCAATGCACGCAGACCGGGTTAGGGTTAGGGTTAGGGTTAGGGTTAGGGTTAGGGTTAGGGTTAGGGTTAGGGTTAGGGTTAGGGTTAGGGTTAGGGTTAGGGTTAGGGTTAGGGTTAGGGTTAGGGTTAGGGTT